TGAATATTTGTACTAGTGGACCCAGAGTTGTACTGTCAGGGAAAAACGCCCTAAGACTAAACCCAGAGCTGGCAGGCACATCATAACTCACCCAAATCTCTATCATAAATATGAACAAAAGTAAGACATCATAAAAGATTTGGTATCACATGGATAATAAAGTAAGAGGCTGGAGGATAATTTCACCAGAACAGAAATGTCAATAGCCAGAATCTTTAAAGTGGGGTCACAGAAATGAGAGCTTTCTGTATGTTACTCTCAGCTTGACAGGCTAAAATGGGTACAGGAAATGTTCTGAGAAGAAACAGTGGTTGGCACTATGTCAACCAAATCTCCCATGGAGGGTCAAAATTTATATAACAATGTGTTTTTAGCATTATATGTCAGATGCACCAGTTGCGTTAAAAAAAAAAGGTCCTTTTTTTACTTAGTGTTTGACTACTTAACTCCCTGCGTGGGTTCTGGGACCCCATTGTGGGGAAAACAAGAATAGACCCACTGCCACTTCATCAAGCATGAGAAAGCGTAGACTAATTGGCAGCTATCTTTCATGGTCAGAATGCATCTGCCCGAGCGGCAAGGAACAACCAACTGGACACAAATAAGCCATTAAACCGGATGTACACATAAAACTCAGGCGCTGGAACAAAGCCAAAGTTTAAATAGACGAACAACCAGGACTTTCAACCGCAGCTTACAGCCAGCAAAGAAGAAGAAGAATACTTAACACTGGATAAATAAGCAATTTTAGGTTTTATTTTATAAGTCCCAGTTAGTTGTTATTACAAGACTTTCAAGAAAATCAGTAGAGAAAGAAGATTATTATGGCCTGGAGAGAATGAAGCACCTGGGTGTAACCAGAGAGTCTGGCCGGCTCACTACACTCAGAGGAAAGGCAAGATGAACATGTAACCAGATTGTGACCGGTGCCATCAGTATTGGAAGTCTGTGCTGACTGCTGGAGATGAGGAGGGAGTATGCATGGAAATGCCCCGAGAGCTTTGATGTCATTACTTGACTCAATTCAACAAGAGAAAAGTATGTGGCTTAGAGAACTAATCTTTGAGTCTTCATCAGATGAGCATTACATTTATGGGATGAGTCAGTTAAAATAAATACAGTGTTGGGACAGAACAGGTTCATGTAACAAAGAAATGGATTTTTTTAAAAAATTAAAGAATATTTACTATTATATACAGTAATAAATTAACTCATGGCAAGGTGTCTGTTACTGTCCCTTCAGTCTGTATTTACCACTTTTTAGGGTGGTATAGACAGGTGGTCACGAGCCGGACGATTCAGGGTCACATGGTTCATGCTGTCGCCACATACTGTGCAGGTTAGGGTGTTTAATTTTGCCCCACCCCCCGACAGAAAAAGTTCATCACCTTACCAGGGGTCAAATCTGGGTCTCCCGCACTCGAGCCAGATGTTGACTGCTCAGTCTAATACTAAAAGAGATCAAATCCATAACATTTTAGACAATGCTCGCACATTACAAAAACTCGCAGAAATTATTCATCACAACAGTAATATTTATTGATAATTTATTTATAGTAAAAAGTCTCGAGGGAGATTGAAAGAAATGCTGAGCTGAAGATTTTTGGTTCTGGTGTCAGGTCGGTGCTGTTGTGTGGGGCGGGGGCATGGGGAGCGGCCGGGGCGGTTGCTGGTAAATTACGGACATTCATTGGCTGGTGCCTGCGCAGAATAGAGGGAATAAAATGGTGTGATAGAATAGCTGCTGTAGAACTTTGGGAGAGAGTTGAGCAGGCTCCGGTGGATCAGGAGGTGGGGGGGACGCTGGCGTTGGATAGGGCGCGGGCTGAGAGAGCGGGAGAATAGCATTGCTGGAATGTCTTTGCATTGGAGCCCACAGGGGCATGGAGGTGAAGGAGGGCCAGAAAACACATGGAGAAGAGAGCTGGAGAACGAGGTTAGAAAGATTGGGAGGACGTGGGGAGAGCTCCATGCAATGGCGAAGGATAAAACGAATTGGCCTGAGTTGGTTGAGGGCCTATGCTCCATTGGGGGATAGAAAGGCAGAAGAAGAAGAAAAAGTCTTATAGACAGGTTTTCAATAAATTAAAATTATCAGACACAAAATATTCTGGTGTTTTTTTATTTTTTTTAAACTTGGTCTGAGCTCCGAGGCTGATGAGGTCTTTAATGGGTAAAAAAAAAGAAGTGGGAGGTTCGATGGCTAGCATGATTTCGATCCCATTACCCATGGCACACCGACTGGTCTATTAAGATATGAGGCCGGCATCATATACACATCATACACTCAATCACAGATCCAAACATCACATACTGATATCTGGATTCTTTCTGTCACAGACGGCTGTTTCTTTCCTCTGTTTTGGTTCCAGGATCCCACTTGGGGGGCAATGCCCTTACCCAAAGCAGGTATTAGAAGGCAACTAATTAGGTGTTTCCTGTGAAATCTGAGCGCGTCTGCCTGAGAGGTCAGGAACCAGCACTCTCTATACAATTAAACCAGCTCTGTAAAATGCAGAGTCAGGTGTTTTAATTTTGCTACTGACAGTGTTTATTATTTAAAAAAAAATAAACAAAACTAATAACATATAAAACAACAACAATAATATAACATCTCTGCTTATCAACAGTAACAACACAATCTTTAAAAGCTTACAGCAATATTAGCATGGTAACAGAAAGGTTACTGCGGGCTGCGTGGATTTTTATCATGGTATGGGACGTCGCAGGTCGACCCAGCCTCAAATGGATACCAGGATGGCTGTCCTGGGGAAGTAAAGACGGCCTGCGTAATGCTGACCACATTGCCCACCTATTGGTCTGTAAAAATATGGCTGCTCTTCCCATATGCCCGATGTGCCTAAGGGCGTGTATAGGGATCTTTACTTTTTTTTTTTACTTTTTAACAGAAAGGTTTCTTCTTCCTCTTTTACAACTTCAGGTATCAAGTGAAATTCTGGTTTTTGCTCCTATGTCCATAGACCCATAATGTTATTTAAGTTACTCGGATGTTATCTTTCCCTTTATTCTAGGTCTGCAACGAGCTGTTAGTTCCTTTTCTCTTACAGTATACGCCCTGTAGGGTATGGTATCACCAGGCATTCTCTCCATTTTATTTGCTGTCTTTCTATGGTCGGCTCTGTGGCTAAGTCGATGCAAACACTTCGTAATGCCGGGGTGCCGGGTTCAATCCCAACTGCGGGCTATGCGCCTTGCGTTGGTTTCGTCAGTTGAATCAGGGGGCCAACCGTCCAGAAAGCAATGGCAAACTAAAGGACGTAAATTTGCCTAGATAAACCACCCTATATAATTTAATATTGGTTCTATGCTAATTTTTCTTTTATGACCATTTCTAATTTTACCTCTTCTGGTCACTCCCGCAGCATTTCTCAGACACCTTATATCTATGGTTACTAATTTCCATTTCTGTAATGTATCTGGGGCTGGTAGCATAGAGTGGGAAATATGATTTGTACTAGATGTTTCTTTATGTTGAGCTGTCTTCAGAAAGGAGTAAATGGGTGCTAAAACTAAAAACTAGGAACTGACAACCAAAACAAGAACAGAGCCGCACCAGTGTTGGGCAACAGCTTCAATGTTGGCTAAACCCAATAGCAAGAAGAAAGTTTTCTCCATTATTACATACCACTGGTGAGCCAACACACCACAGACTGTTGCAAAATGAACATAAATAAATCAATTAACATCAACACTTTATAATGCTTTGAGACACTGAGCAAATTATGAATCATTAAAGGTCATTCCCGTGTGGATTCTGGTGTCCCTCTTCAGAGGGAAAAAGAATAGACCCACTGCCCCCCAAGCATGTCATAGAAGTCAACTAAATAGGGGTGTTGCCTTCTAAGTCAGAGTGCATCTGTCTGAGAGGCAAGAAACCAACAGTCTGCATATAAATATGCCAGGAATGTGTGAGCAAACCTCAAGTTCTGGAACAATATTAAAGTCCAGAACAATCAGAACTTTCCACACTAACATCTAACAGATGCTAACAAATATTAAATATAATCAGTCTCAGGGTACCACAACATCCAGCTTGAGAACGGAGGTAGAGGTCGTCACTGCTGCTTTCCACTGGCTAGAGAGCACAATATATATATATATACACACACACACGCACGCATGCACGCACACACACACACCACACACAGGTGGACAGACTGGCTGACTCTGCACAACTTGACTGAAATACTGATGCATAAGGCAGATGGTGAGGACATCCATGCTTCATGCAGAGTGGTATGCTTTACTTTGTAGGTCCGGGTAAAGAATTGTGTCTTAATCTTTTTCCCGGGTTAAGCCAGTGTGTTGGGAAATGAACAGGTGGACAGACTGGCTGGCTCTGCACAACTTGACTGAATACTGATGCATAAGGCAGATGTGGTTAAGGCCATATGGGAGCACGTATGCAATTCAAAGAAGCAAATGGATCATCAAAGTCCAGTGAGCATGATGCAGCTAGGAGTGACGAGGGGATCTGGCCGATACTCGATCAGGGGAAAAGCAAAATGGACATATAATCAGACTGCTACTAGTACCAATGATAGTGGAACTCTGCACCGGCTGCTGAAGATGGGGATGCAGTGCTTATGGAAATACCCAGAGTGCTGTGATAATAGTTCTTGAATCAACTCAATCAATCAATCGTTTCACCATTATAACAACCTTAAAACTGGCCCTAGGAAATGATCCAGAAAGTAAAGATCGCTAACGCCAGAATATGACTACATCACCCTCAAGTGTTAATTGGTCTATACAAACATGGGACTATCACTATGTGCCCAGTATGACTCTAGGTGTGGAAATGTGTCCTTTGCTTTTAACATAATTATTTTTTTTTTCAGCAAAACCCCATACATACATACATGACTCTAATTTGTGTGCAGAGCAAAAAAACCGAATATTTCATAAAATGATGCAGCACTAAATGAGATCATAAACTTGTAATTAAATGTGCAATTTTACACACCGAATTAGAGTTTTTATAGTTTGTCTACAACAATAACAGCATTTTCAGAATTCTGAGTGTTTGGAAGTTCTTCAGCCCACGCACATTCCTTGTTGTGTTTCCATGCAGAGGCTTCATCTGCATAAATCTCCTGAAAATGTGATTTGTCAGTTAAAAAAAGGTTTCATTACCGGTAAACATTTTTTTAAAAAATATATTAGAATATTTATCATTTTCTATTTGAGGTTTAAACAACGGATCAACATCATGGTACATGGGTAGTAACCCATAAGTGCTCCTTTCTTCATCTAACTCAAGTCTGAGTCTGAAGAAGCTCAGCTCAGTGAACAGGCTCTGTAGCACTAGCGAGGATCCTGAAATACTTTGCGTAGATTCTTAACCCCAAATTTTTTGCCCGGGCAGCGTCGCTAGGCTACTCTTTTTGATTTCCAGCTGCCAATTAATGGGTGTCTGATCTCACTACCCAGAGACCAGAGGGAATTGCTTGAACTTCAAGGGATTTTTTCACGCTGACTTGGACTTCAAGTTGAAGTCCAAATCCACGTGAAAAAATCCCAGCCCTTACAGGTGACTGAACTCGGAACCTCTAGCACTCAAGGCGGACACCATGCCTCGAGACCACACAGCCCCTGTTTTCTGTTCACTGTCCATTATTTCTGTGAACAATGCCAGATGGTTTGTATTGTCTAAATGAAAACTAAATGTAAAGAGTCATCTATTTATAAAAGATTCATCTTGGTTGCTTCAGGTGTAAACAGACAAGATGGCAGGGCATCTTTATCGTCCTTTAGGAAGAAGGGTATTTTCGCCACTAGTTATGTGTTTAACAAAATATTTCGGAATGAAGCAGGGTTTTGGGCCGTGCTACAGAGTTTCCTGCACGAGTGCCTAGTCTCCTATCGGCGTTTCATTAGCGTCTTCTGGAGAAATTTTATGGCCAGCCCATGGATCATGCAGACATTGTCATTGCCCTTAGAGAGATAGGATGTTCTGAGGATTTTGGAAGCAACCTGTCCACATCACTGCTAATAATACGCGAACTGGGAGTAAAGATCGGCAGAGCCAAGCATGAGAAGCACACTGGATGCACACAAAGTTTTGTTAACCAACATAGGACTGGTACTATTAACCGCACGACGCTGATGAGTATGTTGAGAGGGGAATTTGAGCGCATATGGATGTGTCCAGAGTGCTGTGAAGATAATCTAACTCACAACTCATAACTCAAAGATTAATCTTTGACCTCTTTACAAAACTGTAAACTGTCAAAATGTTTTAAACTCCTTCTGTATCAAGCAGCTCGTCATCTGTTCATTGGTTTGCCTAGAGAGTATACCTTTAATCACTTTCTTCTGCCAAAGGCATTTGTCACATTTAACCACTGCATCTAAACTGACAGCTTAACCTATTCTTCTTATCTTCTTCTTAGAGTCCATACCATGTGGCATTGGTAGTCATGTCTATCCACAACCATCTGTCTCGTGTACTTTCAATCAACTCAAGATACAGATGATTCTCCATGCCATGATGTCAAACTGTCCAGCATGTTTTCTCTTGGTCTCCTTCTGCCTCTCCTCCCCTCCAATTTTTTTTTACTGTCATTATGTTCTCCAGTCTTCTCCCTCTCATCATACGATGAAAGAATGCAGATTTTTTTCTTTCTTATGTGGGCAATCAGTTTTCTTCATGAGTCATTTTCGTTCAAGAAACATTCATTACTCTTTTTATCTGTCTAGAGTATTCTCATCATTCGTCCATAGAACCACATCTCCTCAGCTTCCAAACCGTCCCTCACCAATATACCAACTGTCCATGATTCATTTCTGTACATCAAGATGGGATTTATATAGCTTTCAAGAATTCTTCTTTTTATACTGTCATAAAATTAATTTATTCTTTCATATATTGGCATTTCCAACCCTGTCACCCCCAAGAAACTGCAAACCTGACACTTTCTGTTGGGGTCTATTCCCAGTAAGTGTCACTTTTATGATTTGCCTAAAATGATCTGTTTACAAGACGTACAGTTAATGCTATTGGTTGTGCTCACACCTGCACAAATGTTTATTTGGTCAGGATATGAATATATTAACTAACAGTAGCAATTTAAGCCTAATAGTATTTTCAGAGCCAAGCGGATGTCAAATGTTCTAGTAGGCCTCAGTGACAGAGGTCACGGTGCAAGTTACCTGATACATATACCCTTAGACAGCAGGGAAGATACATATACCCTTAGGCCCCAGGGAAGATACATATATCCTTAGGCCCCAGGGAAGATACATATACCCTTAGGTCCCAGGGAAGATACATATACACTTAGGTCCCAGGGAAGGTACATATACCCTTAGGCCCCAGGGAAGATACATATACCCTTAGGCCTTAGGGCAGATACATATACCCTTAGACCCCAGGGAAGATACATTAACCCTTAGGCCCCATTCCATTGAATGCTTCATTATTTTCATGTTTCTTGATTACTCCCTTTATATATCTTTTTATATTTCCACATAAAAAATGTTTCAGTGTGAATAAATATATTTTTTTTAATGTGTTTTAGTGATCTGAGTTTTAAAAAAAAAAGGGTCAACAGATTTTAAAAAAAATAATTCCCATGGGGTTATGATTCATTTTTGTTTAGCTTTACTAGGGTGAAAGGGTTAATACCTTCAAACCTTATCACTGACTGCCTCAGAGTAAGGCTTGCAGAGATACAAGAAGTTAAAAGATATCTGCTGGTTTTTTTTTTTTTATTAACTCACACTACAGCCATACTCTTGACAGAGACAGGTCACTACTGTTCAACTCAGGGCAGTAAATAACTGAATAAATAGTAAGCACATGAAAATAAAATAGCCAGGTTTCTGAACATGTGTTCTCTCCAAGTGCCCCATTTTGTGGAGAGAAAAAAATATAACAGACTAAATCTCCCTAACAAGCATGTCCTAAAAGGCAACTAATTCACCGAAATTGTATGTGTCAATCAAAAGGTGCAGAATAGGTGCCTAGCTGTAAACTACAGCACAGCATGCCACCACCTTTTTAAAGAAAAATGAAGAAGAAACAGAAAAAGAAAAGAAAAGAAGAGCATGTTCTTCAGGAATGACTATTAACTGAATTAACCCTTTCGCCCCGGAAACACTAAATAAAAAACAAGGGCCGTAACTTGGTTAGAATTCCCTTTAAAAAAATCCTAAAATAAATACGATTACACAGATTGCTAATACATTTGTTAAAAACTTATGTTCCTAAATGTTTAATTTTATATGTATATATATATATATATATATATAATTTATATGTATATATATATATATATATATATATATATCATATACATATATATATATATATATATATATATATATATATATATATATATATATATATATATATATATATACATACATATACATATATACATATACACATATATATACAATTATACATATATATATATATATATATAAAAGAGTTTTTAACCCTTAGGCTCGGTATTATGGATACCGCAACCTTTCGGCCTTGATTCCATTGTAAATACCGTAAATCTGGGAGAAAATGTGGCTTTTCTGCCAACCCCCGGGAGTGAACCCGGACCACAAGGAGTTCGTCACCCGGTCTCCGCGCAATCCGATTTAGCCAACTAGGCTAGAGAGACAGGCATATATATATATATATATAAAGAAGGGAGTAATCAGTGAACACAACAGGGTGAAGCATTAACTGGAATACATTGCTCAGGAAAACATTGTTTGGCGCCTAAAAAATAAATGTATCAGATTACTCATGCTATGATCCCATGACCTCTATTATTGATGCTATGGGGAAATTTTATGTCAAATTGGCTTTAGAAAAGTTATTTACCTCAAAGCAAACTATACGTCTCATAAACAGGTCACTATAGGCAAGTAGGAAAAGTGACATTTACGGGATTTGGGTCCAATCAAAAGTGTAGGATTTTCGGCTTTACAGAATAAAATGGTTAAGAAAGAGATACAGTACTGGTCTATCATATCAATATTAAATTGCAGGCTGTATGGAGCTTAAGAGAAATTATAGTATGGCTGTGTTCATGAGAATTTACATGTACAGATACTGTCGTTACGATAGGAAAAAGAAAACACAGAAATATTGAGAGAAAAAGAGAACGAACAAACAAACAAAATTTTACTTTCAAAGGGTTCAAAATTGGACACACAGGTCGACATAAAGAGAATTAGGGGAAGAGAGGGAGTAATATACAGAAGAAATCAGAGAGCGCTAGGAGAGAGACTGAGGAGAGAAAGGCGATAGAAAAAGTCGGACAGAGAGGAAAAATAGGGAGAGACAGGAAGGAAAGTGAGTGTATGTGCATGTATAAGTTGCACAGGTTCATTGTATGGATTTCACAACAGACTGCCACATGCAAACACGAAGCACCAAATCAAGCACAAAAGAAAGGCTCACAAAATTCACGTTTTGCCAAAGAAAGGAAATCTGGCACAAAGGAGTGATCCTTCAAGACAAACTGGTGAGGGTTGTGTTAAGAACCGATATCACAGCACTCTGGAAATTCCCATAAGTGCTCCATCCTTATCTTCAGCAGCCAATGAAGAGTTCAGATTCTGATGGTGCCAGTAGACAAACTGTTGGGGACCACTGAAGCATACTCAAATATGCTATCCTGTTTGTATCACATGTTGGAAACAGATGCATAGCAAACATTATTACCTGAAGAAATCAATGTGTATATTTTATTAACATCTTACATATTCACACACACATACACACACAATGAGAACAGTACCTTCTTCCAGATTGGCACTATTGCTTTCATTGTGTCTATTGCAAAATGTACAGCTTCTAATGACTCTTTCCTGTGCTCAGAGGAAATGGCTATGACGATGCTTGCTTCTTTCACTGGAACAACCCTGAAGATTGAGTGCAAGCATTCATGCAATATTATTTGGCTCTCACAATGAGTTTATATTTTTAATATACATTTCTACCTCATGTTCTGGCACCCATCCCACTGGCTTTGTCATGCAGCCCAGTAAACTTCCAAATGTAGGAAGTCTTTACACAGAATACTGTTTAAATCAGAATCCATCAGAAGTATTATAAATTCTTTGCCAGTTTAGCCCAATAAATAACAAAATGTAGCAAGTCCATAGCTAGAATACCGTTTTAAATCAGAATCCACCAGAAATGTTCAAAATTCTTTGCCAGTTCTGCAGCTATTTCATGTACTGGTGTTTTTTATGTCTACTGTGTTGGTCTACCTTATACCTTCATTACCATTTTTTCCAATAATTTAAAGACAAGGGGAAATGAAGCGTTAGGCCTTCACACATCACAGATGTTGAACTGGCAACACTCACAAGACTTCAAGAACTTCAGGTTAAAAGAGGTGTTGCCAAACATGTACTATTCAGGTAGGCAAAGAAGAATAGTAAACTAACACAGAACTGGTGTTATCAGTCGCTACACTTCGAGGGATATACTGAAGATTGGATCTGAGTGCTTATGGACTTGTCTGATGTGCAGTGAGGATAATCTGTCAATAACTAACTAACTAACTAACATTCTAGGCCATGACAACTTAGTTGGAGGGACCGTTTCCCTTCCTTATCATTTTTCCTTCCCGTTCAATTTCCAGAAAATGGATCCTTGCCAAATTTGTTTATTTCAAACCTTCTGTAGTACCAACTGACTATATTAAAGTACTTCTTAGCGTTCACCAGCTGTAAAAATGTGGTGTGACATTTCGGTTGTTTATCCACTTGTAAACTTTTATCTGCATCCAGAACTTATATTTTCTGTGTACATCCCTTTTACCGACTGGTTTATTTGTAAGCAGACTATTGGTTCGTTGCAGTCGTAAAAATGCATTCTGACTCTGAAGGAAACACCCCTGATGAGTTGCTTCCCACAACTTATGAAGGAGACAAAGTCTACTCTTTGTTCTCCAAAATGGAGCCACGAAACCCACACAGGGAATAAAAGATACAATCCACTAACACAAGCTTACCCAATTCTATGAATAATTGCAATGTTGTGGACATCCCACTGCTGCCTAATTGAAGCACACACTTCTAACATTTTCCGCTTTGCCATTGGAATATAAGCTTCGTAATCCAATTTCAAGACCTGCTTGCCATCAAAATTATCTCTTGTTGTGCCTATAGATTATACAACATGTTATATTTATGGCATATGACATTTCAGGGCCAAATAGTTTATAACTGACTTTGCATATCACATATAAGGGCCAACTATTTCATAAATGACTTCATGTATCACATATAAGGGCTGAGTGTTTTATAACTGACTTCACATATCACAAATGAGGGCCAAACATTCCATAAGTGACTTCTTCACATATCAAATATAAGGGCCAAGCATTCCATAACTGACATTATGCATCACATATAAGGTACAAGTATTCCATAACTGACTTCACATTTCAGGTGACTTCACAATAAATATAAGGGCCAAGTATTCCATAACTGACTTCATGCATCACATATAAGGGCCAAGTATTCCATAACTAACTTCACACATCACATATAAGGACCAAGTATTCCACAACTTTGACTTCCAGGTCGACCCAGCCTTGACAGGGTACCGGGTGCAGTCCCAGGAAGTAAAGGCGGCCAGCATGATGCTGACCACATCACCCATCTTGTGCTGATTGGTCTATAAAAATAAAGGTCTAGCCCTATATGCCTAAAGGCGTGGAAAAGGGACCTTTACTTTTACTATTTACTATTCCACAACTGTCTTCATGCATCACAAATAAGGGTCAAGTATTCTATAACTGACTTCACATTTCACGTACAACATATAAGTGCCAAGTATTCCACAATTGACTTCACATATCACATATACATCAGATTTCAAACTTTTCGCTTGCTGCTGGATAGTGATGGAGTGCCCCGAGTGCTATGATGTTGATTCTCAATTCAACATTCAATATATCACATATAAGGCCAAGAATTGCATAAGTGACTTTATGTATCACATATAAGGGCCAAGTATTAAATAACTGACTTCACATATCACACATAAAGGCCAAGTATTCCATAATTTACTACACATGTCACATATTAGGTTCAACTGTTTTATAACCGACTACATGTATCACATCGCAAGTGCCAAATGGTACTGGTTAAAAGACACAACTCTTTTAAAAACCATACCAAAGAGGAAAGTCAAAAGAAAGAGAGCAAGAGGTATACAACAATACAAGTGGGAGGACAACATCAAGAGATGGGTGAACAGTAACAGTCTAAGAGAGTACTACCAATACAAGAGTGTGTTGGAGACCAACGGTAGCCGCCAAACTGAAGATAGTACATGACTATTTAAATGTCCTAGGAAGTAAAGGCAGCCAGCATGATGCTGACCATATTACTCGCCAGGTGCTCTATAAATATATGGGTCTAGCATATATGCATGAAGTGCCAATGGTATAAACTTTTGTAATTAGACTGACAGCAAGGTAAGGTGAAAATTCTCAGATTACGTGCAGCTTTCCCATGGCAACTTATGGATGTCTTCTTCACGTTCACTGGCTGTAAACTCTGGTGGAAAGTTCTGGTTGTTTGTCCACCTCTGAACTTTAATCTTGTTCCAGAACCTGAGTGTTGCACACAAATCCATTTAACAGATCTGATTTAATTGTATGCAGATTGTTGGTTTCTTGCCTCTCAGGCAGATGCACTCCAAGTTCGAAGGAAGACTCTGATTAGTCGACTCTTATGACATGATTGTTGGGGAGGCAGTGGGTCTATTCTTTTCCCCATAATAAGGCCCAAGAACCTACACGCGAACTTGAGGATGTTAGTCGTGGACTCTTACTCAGTCTCTGAAGAATAAAATCTGAGCTTTTGAATGGAAATGCTACAGAAAGGTTCTTAGAATACTGGTGGACCAAGAAAAATAAAAAATGTCAACTCCTGCATGAACATTGAGGAGAACTGGCTCATAAACAGCATCCTCTTCCAAAAGCTGAGGTATTTTGGATATGTCAAGTGCCATGGTGGTCTGGAGAGAACGGTCATGGGGGGTGCAGTTTCTGGGAAAACAAGGCAAAGGCTGACCTTCGTGAAGGTGGATCCAGGACATTGAAAAGACATTGGCTGTGAAAGCACGCAGGGCTGGAGTTGTGGCTAGAGAAAGAGAGGCTTTCAACATCATTTTCACTGCCATTACAAAGGAATGAAGCCACTGTATTTGTAAATGCACAAATTGCTACCCACATTGGCTTCTCCTAACTTACCAATAAACATAGACACAGCACCACAAGATGGAGAAGATACCATATCAGATATGTCTTCTACGCTAAGCTTTTCATATAAAATATCCACAAAATCCATGGTCACGACTGCAAATAAAGAGAAAAACAGAAACATTTGTCATGTTTTTTTAAATGCAAAGCAACTAGAAATAAATTACAATTATCAATGAAACTGTTCAGCAATTAGAAAGTCAAACTGTGACCTTAGAAGTGTAGACAGAGGGCTAAGTGGTCTCGAGGTATGGTGTCCGTCATGAGTGCTGGAGGTCTCAGGTTCAGGCTCCGGTGAAGGCTAAGATTTTGTTCACGTGGACTTCTAGTAATTTCCTCTGGTCTTTGAGTAGTAAGATCAGACATCCATGTGCATTCTTGCACATGTAAAAAAAAATCCCTTGGCAGTTGGAAATTGAAAAGAGGAGCCTATCAACGCTGCCTAGGCAAAATGTGGAGTTGAAAATCTACCCAAAGTATTTAGGATCCTCACCGGGGCTACGGATTTTGTGCACTGCGCTGAGATTTTTCAGACTCAGGCTTGAGTTAAAAGTAAAATGGAGCACTTGTGGGTAACACCCGTGTACCATGATGTTGATCCATTGAATAAACATTACCATAAGTGTAGATAAACAGAAAAATAAGATGGTTTCATTGGGGAGGGGGGATACTAGTTCTGTAGAGAGGAAATAGAATGAGAGACTAGTAAAATATTTATATGTCACAGTTTAAGGCATAACACGTACAAAAACTGGAGGAAAAGGCTGGGGGTCGGGTCCTTACCTACACAGGACTACAGATGTTTCTGTCTGTGCTAGTGTGGCCACTATAGGTGTCCTAATTATAACTTTATTTTAGGTAGCACAAGATATATTGGATCTGCCTGGTTGGTGCGCCATCCAGACTGAGATTCTTTAATCTCATGATGGTATGGTAAACCTTAAGGTAGCAGCCTGGAAGGGACAAACAGAGTGGTTGATCTGAGGGTAGGTGAACAAGGGTATACAGCAGTATAAGTGGGAAGATGACATAAACAAACTGCTGAATAGTAGTCTGAGAGAGAGCGCATTCAGAGTGAAAGACAAAGCATGTTAGAGATTCACTGCAGCCATCCTTGACTGTGGGGATGGCACTAGAATGATTGATCGGAATTCCCCATTCTGTATGGTAAAAGAAACAAATTTCAAGAACAACAGCTTTCAAATAAAAATTTTAAACATTAAGTGCTAAGTGTAACACATGTTTAGCAATCTTCTTCTTCTTTGCGTTCGGTTTCGTATGCTCAGATCAGACCATCAGGTGGGTTGCCTCTAGGAACTCGCATGTCAGTAGCAGGTCCTTCCTGGTTCCTCATAGCTTGCTCTGCACACTTGGCATGCACATGTTTAGCAATCAATAATCTATATTATAATACTACATCCTGTAATAGAATTGAGGTGGAGGCAGTAACAGCAGCTTTCTGATGGTTTGAAAGTAGCACTGCCCAACATGTAAGTGTAACAGACTCACACAGCATGCTTTGGAAAATTTAAACTGGTGTCCTACACCAACAGCTTGCATCACTTGTTAAGATTCAGATCAAGAGCATTTGATAGATTTTCTGTCTAGGAATTCAAGTGTGTGAGGTAATGAGAAAGCTAAGAGATTAGATGCTGTCAACCCTATAGGTGGTGAACTACTTTATGATAAAGCAGACACGGGGAAGGCTTTCTGGGATCAAATGGACATTGTAGTAGAACAGATAGAGAATCCCTACACTGAAAGACTAATTCAACAGGGTGAGCAGAGGTTCTGGAAGATATTCAACACTCAGATGAAAACAAGAGGCAACTTTTAATCTGGCTGCAATAGTAGTACTATAAGCATACTGACTCTTCGTTGGCTATTTAAGAAGAGGACAGCGCCTGTCTGTGAATGTCTCGAGTGCAGTGATGTCAATTCTTGATTTACTCATTCAGCAGTCAACAGTAACTACTGAATGTACAATTTACACAAATAATATCTTCAGACAATATATAGTTGAGTCAATCGGTTTTTAGATTTTATCTCGTCATGTCTACCTAGTATATTTACTGGAAAAAGGATCAATTAAATTCATTCAAAATGGCACTTACTATCTCATCATCAACGTCACCATCATCAGCATTCATTCATTATCAAGTGCCTTGCCGAAAGACCACGCATCTCCACAATCTGCAACCGCGTGTATTCTTACTATCTACTGAGTCTACATTAAATGTATAAACATGGGCCTTATAATTTTAAGTTATAATATACGGTTATAATAATGCTATTAAGATAAGAGCGAGGAGTGTTGAACTATCACTGCCCTAATTCACGTATTCTTACACCATCAAACGTGACACCGCCTTCTTCAGACTTCAATTACAATATGACTAATTAATTTCTAAAAACTTTAAAAATCAACCTTATATGCTTTAAAAAAATTTGTTAAATTATGAAGAAGCTGTAGATCATTAAAATAACATAATTGTGATGATCACTCAACACATGTTTATCTGGCAAATATATTTCAATTTGCAAAGTCATCTTGCATTTAATTTCACTTAATAGTGGGAAATAATACTGCTCTGAATGCAGTCACAGAGAGACACGGGTCAGCGATTTCGTCGTAAGCATTAATTTTATTGTCATCGCTTTTATCATTATGTGTAAACATTCGTCATTGTTTTGACTCATCAATGCAACACACATCCATTCAACGTTGTCTCATCAGACTGGGGTGTTCTTAGGGAAAAGTTAGTGTTAGTTACCCAATGTCCCAGCTCGGTGTCTTGAATGTGAATGGGCGTCGGCAACAAGTTGCTATATGTGGCTAAAATCAGCTCTCAATTTCTATTTGTAGCTACATAAAACGCGAAGTGGCAAAACGACCATGAGATTTTATAAGTCGTTCAGTCGCTCTTCCTCTTCTTCTTTGCGTTCGGTTTCCTATGCTCAGATCAGACCATCAGATTAGGTTGCCTCTCTGAACTCGCATGTAAGTAGCAGATCCTTCATGGTTCCCCAAAGCTTGCTGTGCACACTTTGCTCTTGAGGCCAGATGTCTTTTTGAAGTTGTAGGCAGAGTGGGCAGGTCTGCAAAATGTGCTCAGGTGTTTGTGGTCCTGTTTAACAGGCACACTGTGGGGGGGGGGGGGGGGGGGGGGGGGGCTGTACAATCTTTATTTTATGCATGTGGTAGTTGAGCCTGCAGTGTCCTGTTCGTAGACGGAACATTGTTGTATGTTTTTTTCCGTTGAGTCTGCTGATGGGTCTTGTGGATGGTTACAGTTAGTTTGTTCACCACATTTCCTTGTATTTTTCCTTGAAAGGTGTTCTGATTTCTGGTAATGCCAAGGTTGGGTGCGTTGTTTCTCCTTTAGTCCATTTTTTGCAAGTCTGCAATTTTCTGGTATGCCGCAGTGAGCTGGGATCCAATGAAGAACGAATTGATTGTTTTCTGTGAGTCTGTCTAGCTAGGGGTCAGTTCTTTCTTCATGTTGTCTCGTGGATCCCTCTGAGGCGCCCGGGGGACTGAAATGCAGTCACGAAGGAAAACAATTTTGTTGTTTTTAAATTTTTTCTTTCCTCAAGCACTTTGTCTGAATCAATAATTGCGTGCTCTGCTCTGCTTTGAAGTTTGTTGAGATTCTTCCGGAGACGCATGACGTTTCTACTGTGGTCCCAGCTTGCAACATGATGACCGATAAAGCTCCTTCGTTTTTTTTTTTTTTGTTCCCTCCAATGATCCATCGGTGTATATATGTGTCCATTATCGTTTTGGATAACAGTTGTAGACATGTTCAATGGTCTTTGCATGCAGTACTAAGTCACATTCTTTAGCCATTCTGTCTACGCCTGAAATTGTTGTTGTGACTGTATAGTTAGGCTGTAGGTCTATGCTGTATGCCTGGATCATTTCACATGTTGAAGGATCTTTAGAAAGGATGTCACTGTTTTTTTTTTAAAGTACAATTTTGATAGATGGTGAACGCTTTGTCTTTTCAGTCGTTTTTTTTTTTATTTATTTTTTTTTTTTTTTTAGCTATTTGCTATTCTGGGCATGAGGTTGTTATTGCGTTTATATATTTTTCTGTTAGCGTAAGCACCTTTTCTTTCCTTCCAAGGCTCAGGCTCTGAATGTCAGAAGTTGCCTCAAGCATGAATTGGTGTGCTTCTCATACCTCTAGTGATAATTCTTAGATTATGATTAGTTCTGCTGGACTAACATCTGGGATGCGACTCTTCGAGTTGCTAGGGTTCACAACTCCAAGTGGCAACCTAGAAAAAGTGGGTGGGTCGGGGGGGAATTGTCATTTTTTTCACCTTGCGATGTCGATTATAAGTAAAAACTGGACGATAGTGTCAGTCCCCGTTTATGTTCTTTGTAAATCATATGGAGAAATAAAGGGGTGGAGGGGCCAACCTGATTAGGCTTGATTATATTTCATAAAGTAGTAGAATATTCCTGAGGCGGGTTTGGTGAACCAATAGTAGGTCAAAAGCAGAAAAAACTAACATTGGTGAGCCAGTCTACCTAAATCAGTGTTTCACGAAGTGGGTGCTACCTCAAGTACAGCTGGAAAGCATAACATAAAAATAATGAGAGAGAGAGAGAGAGAGAGAGAGAGAGAGAGAGAGAGAGAGAGAGAGAGAGAGAGAGAGAGAGAGAGAGAGAGATTAAAATCGTAGTAACAAAGAAACCAATCAGATTCATCCTTCCCATTACAGAAAAAGTCATTTATTTAATACTTAGATATAAAAAAAAAAAACAATGTATCCCAATATACTGACGAAGTTGCTGTTTTGAGAACAGTACAAGATCTCCCCAGCACTTTTAGTGAGTTGTAGAAGCAAGTTAATAAAATTTCAAATTTTATGACAAAGTGGTGGTTTAACCTGAATATAACAAAAAACAATTGGGAATATTGTATCAGCATTCTGTCAAAAAATTCGGCCAAAATAATAATAATAATAATAATAAATACTAACTATAAAGTTCAGCACCATGCATCATAAGAGGAACGTCCAGAACTTGTAGAACTGACTGAGTGACTTTCCACCCCACCACGACATCACACAAGCGATAAACACCCGATGACACAATGTGCGACCATGTGGATGAGGATCACCGTGGAGAGGTCCCAGAAACCGCGTTCAGCCATTAGGCCATATCTATGGCCTGGCTATATTGCGGCCCCTGGCAAGAGCCAGGGTGGGGCTTCAAATAACGGAAAATATCATCCTAAAAAGGACGGTGAATATAATTATAAGCTGTAGAAGTGGCAATGGGAATTATTTCCCTGCACCTTGGAAGGAAAGGAGTTAAGTCTACATTTTTTCCCCATCAGAGCTATTAGTTCACTTAGCGTACAAGTCACTGAAGCATAAACAGAAGTATCCTTCTTCTTAGAGTCCATGTTGTGTGCGCTGGTAGTCATATCTATCCACAACCTTCTGTCTCGTGAACTTTCAATCAATTCTGACACAGATGATCTTCCATGCTATGATTTCAAACTGTCCAGCATCTACTCTCCCGGTCTCCCTCTGTCTCTCTTTTCCTTTTATCTTTCCTACCGTCACGATGTACTCCAGTTTTCTCCTCATCACATGACCAAAGAATGTAGATCGTCTCTTTCTGATCTGTGCTGTCAGTTCTCTAGAAGTTTTTTTTTTGAGTACTTTTAGTAAAAACTTAGTATTTGTATAATTGGACATAGTTGTTGAATTATCTCCCCTACAAATTATAGCGTCCCTTTGCATAATATGTGATATTTATCAGTGTCTAAAGTGAGGTTTTCGTGGCGAAGTGGTCAAGTCGTTTGCCTCGCGCTTTGAGGGTGATCGATTCGTTTCACGGCTGTGTTTTCTAATACTCTGGGTTTTTTTTTTTTTTTTTTTGCGGAGATACATGGACATCTTTACCGGAGATACATAAACTTGGTAAAACATGGTAATGAAACTGCAGATAGGACACTTGGAAGCAAACAAACATGTGGAGCCAATAAAAAACACTGTTTATATTATTATGAGCACACGGGACATCAAATCATTGACTTAAACATGCGCGGAAGCACTGGACCAACTGGCTGGGCATCAACTTGGTTGACAGTTCATGCATACTGAGCATCAAACTGGACGCTAGACACGGCCACTATTTTGAGCCGTGGCACATTTTTTGCTTCTGCCAAACGGTGGCCGTTGCCTTTTTGCCCCATTTGTAGACTGAAAGGATCTAGTTTCGTCGCCCAGCTTCTGGGTTGAGTGCATGGTGTAACACTGTGAGCTGCGGATTTCATTTGAAATGTTTTTCGACTGTGCTTAACGTGGTGAATTGTAGATTCAGAAAATGGGGCGATGCCTCTTGTCGCAATATTGGTGGTGCCATTATGTGATTCAAATTGATCGCGTGTGCAACTCCTGATCTGTTGGTGACTTCTGCTACAGTCTACGATGAACTGCATGTTTAATGTCGGGCAGTGTTAGCACTTCGGATGGCTACGGGATGCTTTAAATGCGTGTGTATGCTAGATATGCTGAGACAGCAGTCTGTCAATCTTTCCACAAGGGACTGTGATAAACATTCTATGTGTATTTCGTTGGCACAACAACGGAGCAACTATGGGGACCCGTTTGCTATGAAGCTAAAACTAAAAATACCAGATTACCAGATACTAAGCTAGCAGTTACTACTGGAAGTGAGAGAACAGTCCGGAAGCATAGATCATCCCTGTCTGGATTCTATGGTGCAAAGGGGAGTGACCAGGGTACCTGGCAGACAATCAACACTCAGAGGAAAGACAAAGCATACATTATTTGCTGCTCAAGATATGGATCGAACGCTTATGGGAATTCCCAAGTTCTATAATTTTGGTTCTTGATTCAGTCACGGCCGCCTGTAGCTTTTACAGGCCACGGCCGTCTCGAGGTTATTCAGGCCACGACCGTCCAGAGGTTATACAGGCCACGACCGTCTCGAGGTTATACAGGCCACGACCGTCTAGAGGTTATTCAGGCCACGACCGTCTAGAGGTTATTCAGGCCACGACCGTCTAGAGGTAATACAAGCCACGACCGTCTAGAGGTTATACAGGCCAAGGTCGTCTATAGTTTATACAGGCCACGACCGTCTATAGGTTATACAGGCCATGACCGTCTATAGTTTATACAGGCCCCGATCGTCTAGAGGTTATACAGGCCACGGCCGTCTGGAGATTAAACAGGTCACGACCGTCTATAGTTTATACAGGCCACGACCGTCTAGAGGTTATACAGGCCAAGACCGTCTACAGTTTATACAAGCCACGACCGTCTAGAGGTTATACAGGCCAAGGTCGTCTATAGTTTATACAGGCCACGACCGTCTATAGGTAATACAGACCATGACCGTCTATAGTTTATACAGGCCACGATCATCTATGGCTTATACAGGCCAAGACCGTCTATAGCTTTTACAAGCCACGACAGTCTAGAAGTTATTTATACAGGCCACGACCATCTATAGCTTATACAGGCCAAGACCGTCTATAGCTTATACAGGCCACGACCATCTATAGCTTATACAGGCCAAGACCGTCTATAGCTTATACAGGCCACGACCATCTAGAGGTTATACAAGCCACGACCGTCTATAGTTTATACAGGCTACGACCATCTAGAGGTTATACAGGCCAAGGCCGTCTATAGTTTATACAGGCCACGACCATCTAGAGGTTATACAGGCCAAGGCCGTCTATAGCTTATACAGGCCACGACCGTCTATAGTTTATACAGGCCACGACCGTCTAGAGGTTATACAGGCCACGACCGTCTAGAGGTTATACAGGCCACGACCGTCTATAGTTTATACAAGCCACGACCGTCTAGAGGTTATACAGGCCACGACCATCTAGAGGTTATACAGGCCAAGGCCGTCTATAGTTTATACAGGCCACGACCATCTAGAGGTTACACAAGCCACGACCGTCTATAGTTTATACAGGCTACGACCATCTAGAGGTTATACAGGCCAAGGCCGTCTATAGTTTATACAGGCTACGACCATCTAGAGGTTATACAGGCCAAGGCCGTCTATAGTTTATACAGGCCACGACCGTCTACAGGTTATACAGACCACGACCGTCTATAGTTTATACAAGCCACGACCGTCTATAGCTTTTACAAGCCACGACAGTCTAGAAGTTATACAGGCCAAGGCTGTCTATAGTTTATCCAAGCCACGACCGTCTAGAGGTTATACAGACCAAGACCGTCTATAGATTATACATTTCACAGCCGGTCATAGCTTTCCCCTTTTTATCTGGATTTCCCCACATGGCTGCTACATGAAGGTTTGAGGCGCTGAGGTTTTACGTTTTTTAAATCTTAACTTGAATGGCAGCTTTACAGGAGAAATCCCAGATATCTTTTTAACCCATAAAGAAAAGTTATAAAGAAGGGATCAGTAACTTGTAGTCATGTGCTGGTAAGAATATCTTTGCAATTTAAAAAAACTTTTTTTCCCTTTTATATCGTTACGGGTTATGTTTTTAAGAAAACCGGAAGTTTGGACCAAACACAAAATTTGATCTGTCAACAACTAGTAAATTATTTACTAAATGTAAGCGACACTGTTTGAATTAATATCTCACAAGGTACACTTATTAATCCCCATTTTTATTCTGCCTTTTATCCCCTAAGGTAGCATAAGCGCTCACCTCACCATCTCGACCCATCCTTTGCTGTATCGCAGCTCGCCCCATGTCATTTACTCACTTGTGTAGGTAGTGCAGCTTATGATGATGGGTTTTCACAGAACCTGTAAACTAAACTGTCGCACAGAAAAAGTCTGCATCGTTTTATTCTTTTAAGTATGTCTGCCATCACAGAAAGCACATGTTAAAGAAATTATTTTGCTAATGAACTAAAAGTTATTAATAGCATACATTTTTAGGCTCTCCTCCGAACTTCGACCCGATATTATGGCGGCCATAAAATATCCTTACGGGGTCGAAGTTCGGAGGAGAGTCCATTTTTATGTCTGTTAGAAAAAAAATTAACCTTTTCAGGCCTATGAAATTTGACAGACTTGGCTCACTTTAATTTCATTTTACAAAAAATGGCAAAGGGGGTGGTTTAAAAAAAAAAAGGCAGTTTAAAATGTAATATATATCTGATCCCTACAAAAGTCTTCTTCTTCTTCTCCTTCTCCTTCTTCTCCTTCTTCTTCTTCTTCTTCTTCTTCTTCTTCTTCTTCTTATTCTTCTTCTTCTTCTTCTCCTCTTCCTCCTCCTTCTCCTTCATCATCTTCTCCCCCTTCTCCTCTTCTTCTTCATGTTCCCCAGCTGTAAACTTCGATGGAAAGTCCTGGTTGTTTATCTACTTCGGGGCTCTAATTTTATTCTAGAACTTGAGTTTTGCATGCATATTCATTGACTGTTGGTTCCTTGCATCTCAGACAGATGCACTCTGACTGTGAATGAAACATCCCTAATTAGTCGACTCTTAAGGTATACTTGTTAGGGGGGCAGTGGAATCTATTCTTGTTATTCTCCACAAGGGGGCCCCAAAACCCACACAGGGAGTACTAAGCATCCATGTTAACATCTTACTGTTTATGTCTCAAGATACTGCAGTAAGCTCAGATGTTTTTTTGTTTGTTTCCAGATTGTGAGTAAGCATTTATGACCAGCATCTTGATGGAATAATGAGTTTCATAACTCGGATGAGGCTGGTGATGAGTCTGCATTTAATTTTATCATCTGTGGAAACATTTTCTGTTGGAAAATGCATGACAAGGCATATTGTTTAAACTGACAGGATTTTATAATCATCTCATGTTAATGTCTTGATTAACCAAAAATTACCATTTCTTGTAAGGAAAATACTTCACTGAAAATAACTTGTCGCTGTGTCAGAAAATGTCTTTTGAAACTTAAATATCACCGTGTAAATTAAAGTGTGTGATATGAAATCTTCCCATTCAGGGAAATCTTCCCGCTCAGACAGTCTAGATTTGAGCAGCCATGGGGATAATCAGACGTTTGTCCCTTTCACAAGTACATCCTATCAAAGGCTTCTAGATAGAGAGCGGGTGCGAAAAGTTTTAGAAATTAAGCGTGCTAAATATGCGAATATTGCTCACATTGTTGATGGAGAGTTGAGGTTTGGTGCTAAAGAAGATGACCTCCTTTTACCCGAGGAGAACCCAGACTTGAGGGAAGGAAGCATGTTTACAAAGTCTTATGGTACTTTTCCTCCACACTTGCTGGGTGTTCCAATTGAGGAGATTGATCCGGGTATCAGGGAGAAGGTAAGGAAGCTGTTACAGTCATCAACATTCCTCTCTTTTATTAGCAACAACAGAAGACATGGTAATGTAGTGACAAGTACCTTGTCTTTTGTCTGAAGATCATGGATCAGCACAGTCTAAAATAGATACCACATAATGTTCTTGGAAGTAAAGGCAACACAAAGTTATTAATAAAAATAAGTAGGAGGCTTTATTCAGTTATCTGTCCTATGGTGCGAGACCTATTTCTTTATAGACCATTCATTACTGATGAGCAGTGGTATAAAAAAGTATAAGAATATCTATCATGTAGCAGGTCTTTTACAGAATGTAGCCCCAACACAGCCCACTTGAAAGAAACTATGTCCCTTGCCAGCTCCCACACATTATGTTCTGTTCTGTTCTGTTCTGTTATCATACTTGACATCACCACACATTGGGAATTCACATGCATGCTTATACTTCTGATGCTGTAGACACGCCAAGATACCTCTAGCGATCGCTTCAGTGTGGAGTTGGTTATATCTTCTATATAATTTTAGCGTGAGTTGATTTGTTTAAACAAAATTTAAAAAGCAGTAAATAACCCTAGTTCCTCCTCCTTCTGGTTTTGGAAGAAACAAATCACATTGTTCAACCAGCATCTCGAAGGTGAAGCTTTGGGTTATAATCATGACTAGGTTATGTGCACCATATAAAATAGCTTAGCATTGCACACCACAAAAGCCCTGCAGTGTTGATGTGATCAAAGGAGACAGACCCAAATACTGTCCCGACCGGTGATGAAGTAGTCTGCTGGTGAGCCAAAGGGCTACCCAGTTGCTGATGGTGAACTCTGGTTATTCTGCTTTTTGAATGAAGCAGTTGATACACCCCACCTCATGAACTTTCCTGCCCGCGGTATATCCTATTTCTCTTGACCACCTTCATCATGATCAGCCCCCGCCTCTTTTCCCAGTGCCATGCCCTTGATTACAAACCATTGCGATGTTTGATATAATCAGATTACTTCAGTTTCTGAGACAAGGTGTTATTTACTGGCCAGTTTCTTCAATGTTTTCAATGTTCAGATCATTTAGAAAGTACTGGGAAGAGGGGGGGGGGGGGGGGGGGGGGCTCTCAGTCCATGGTATTCTAAGAATCTTTGTGTAGTATTTCAGTTTAAAAGTTCTGATTTTGTCCTTGATAAGTTGAGTTGAGTCAAGAATTTACAGCATAGCACTCAGGGCATTCCTATGTGTGCTTCATCCTCATCTGCAGCAGCCAGCGCAGTGTTCCAGTACTGATAGTACCAGTCACAATCTGGTTAAATATCCGTCTTGCCTTTCCTCTGAGTGTAGTGAGCCGGCCAGACCCTCAGGTTACACCTAGGTGCCTCATTCTCTCCAGGCCATAATAATCTTGTTTCTGTATCAATTCCGTTGCTTGTTCCCAAAAAGGACATGTCCTTGATAATTGCGAGATAGTCCATGACTCTTCTCATATGTGTGTTGCTACAGGGAAAGTGCGAGTTCTCAGATTGTTGACTTTGATTTTCTTGCTGGTGTTTCACCATAGGTTTTTAGTGCTGTTTGTTTAAAAAAAAAAAAAAAGAGCAATGTCAGTTGCACAACTTGGCAGATAAAGCCTTACTCCAACAGATGCAAGTTGAAGGCCTTTTTCACTCCGTTGATGCCTTGAGCAATACCGTGAGAGACCCATATTATTATAGACTGTTGGCCTTTGTGGCTTAGGTGTTGCTAACATGCTTCAACATTGCCAGGTACCTCCCTGGTTTCGATTCCAGCTACAGGTGATTTGAGCTGCTGTAGTGTAGCAGCTAGACAGAAGGTCGTGAGTTTCGGTCCTGATAATGCCAGATTTTTTTTTTAAATGACCTTGGCTTCCAGGTCGACCCAGCCTTGAATGGGTTCCAGGTATAGTCATGGGAAGTAAAAGCGGCCAGCATGATGTTGACCACATTACCCACCGAGTGCCGATTGTTCTATGAAATATAGGTCTAGCCCTATATGCCCAGTATGCCTGAAGGTGGGGAAAAGGAGTCCTTTACTTTACTTGTCCATGATACATTTACATGATATATTTACATGATATATTTACATGATATATTTACATGATATATTTACATGATATATTTACATGATATATTTACATGATATATTTACATGATATATTTACATGATATATAAAATAACACATACACACATATATACTTATTCATATACACTCTGAGAACTTAATGAACACTTTATATCCCAGTTATAACCCTGAGGCTTTGTCCGAGTGACATAAGTGTTGTGCCTGTTTACAGCAGAGCTGCGATATTTGCACCTTTCGGCCGACACATCTGTCTTCATCTAGCATTTGTTGACCAGGTTAACATCCCCGGTAGTTTTGAGGGACATCGCATTTCCTTATTTATGTGGTGTTTTCTTTGTCTAATTATCTACAGTGTTGTCCCTGGAGAGCTCGTCCAGGGCATCCGCACTGTGGACTAGTTGGCCCTCAAGGAAAGGGACATTCGCCGCCATCCAAAGAGGCTTCCCTAAATGCAGAGCCAACATATAATGCTCTGGTCCTGGGCTCACGCAAGAAATCTTCATGCATACAGTAACCTCTGAGCCACAGAGTTGCACTTTTAAACAAATAAAAAAAATGTGTTTATATGCTGCGGTGAATGGTGGCTAGAGCTTGCCTGTTGGCTGGGGTTCAAATCCACATCGAGTCGGATGTTTCTTTTCCCCCAACATTACCTTGGTTTCCGGATCAACCCAGGATACCGGGGAAAATGCTGGGAAGTAAAGATGACCAGCATGATGTTTACCACATCCCTCATCAAGTGCCAGTTGGTCTGAACAATGGCCAGCTCTAGATATGTGAGACTGGCGTGGCCGGTCAGAGGTAACAGTTGTTATCGAGTAGATTTATACATAAATGTTATTAAATTATTAATTATTATTTTGAAGATAAATAACTGGGCTATTAGAAAATATTTATCTTCAAAATAATAATTAATTCAATAACACATGTTGCAAATTAATTAAACTGTAGCTCAGTTTGTGTATAAATCTACTTGATAACAATTGTTACCACTGACCAGCTACGCCAGCCTCATGAAAATGGGAATTCCCGTTTGAGAGGTATGGCTTTATATCTGGAGCTAGCCATGGTCTGAACAAATATGAGTCCAGTATTATATATCCAATATGCTGCTGGCATGAAAAGGGTCCTTTACCTTGCCTATAGTTTCCATTTTTCTCACATAAAATGTCAATGTGAAATAAGCTGCTTCACTTATGCTGTATTTTAGATGTATTTTTTGTTCAAATGACTGATGAGTTCTGAATAGATAGTGAATGCTTATGCATGCATTTTTTTAAAAAGAAGGATACATGCAGGCGGATCTTAATTATTTTCATGGTCTTATCTGCAGACATTTGTTGTCATCAGTTCTCGGTACAAAAAGAAGTACATAAATAGATTTTCAGCAACTAAATCGCTGTTCGTATTCACTCCCTGGAATCCTGTGCGGAAATTTACAGTGGCAATTTCTACTCATCAACTCTTTGATGTTTTCATCTTCTTGACGATCATTGTCAACTGCATCTTTCTGGCCATGACTCACGATCAAACAGTTGAAGTAATGGAGTGAGTATCACACTGTTTATTTTTGACCGTTTCTCGCTGTTTATAGTGTGTCCAGTTAAAGGTAACTGTCCCTCACAGCTTATTTAAATTTGCCTAAAGTAAACCGTTGCTGACTGTTTATCTATGTCTAACTAAAGCAAACTTTCTCTCACTGCTTGTCTGTATCTAGCTTAAGTAAACTAGACCTCACAACTTATTCGTTTCTAGCTAAAGCTGTGTTTCCTAATGTGGGGAACACACCACAGATGGGCAATTCAATTGTTAAGGGGAGCAATTCCATTGTTAAGGGAAGTAATTTGAAAATTGGATAGTCCAGAGGTTAGTCGCGTATCCTTTACAGGATGTTGCAGAACCAGCCCCAACAGCCCCTGGATGTTGTGTGGTTTTTCTAGGCAAATTTACATCCAGTAGTTTGCCATTGATTTCTGGATAGTCCAGAGTGAGTTAAAATAGGGGGCATTCGAATTTTAGAAAGGCTTAGGTGGGCATGGCACAAAAAGTTTGGGAAACACTGTTCTAAAGTTAAACATATCTAACAGCTTATTTGTTTCTAGTTAAAGGAAACTGTCTCTCACTACTTATCTGTGTATAGCTCATTTGTTAGCTAAAGTTAAACTTGATCTAACTGCTTGACTCTTGTCTGGGTGAAGTAAGCTATCTCTCACTGTTTATTTATGTCCAGTAAACTATATTTGCTTTGTTTCATATCGGGGAATTTAATTGAATAATATTTGGTTTACTTTAAGAATGTGTGTGTGATTGTTTATTTGAAAAAGAATTGGTTTATTTTAAGAATGTGTGTGTGTTTAATTGAAAAAGATTTCTTTTATTTTAGTTGTATGTGTTTCCGAGTATTCAATTTAATATCATTTGTTTGTTTTAGGTATGCATTTCTGAGTATTCATTTAAATGTTTGTGTTATTGAGTGTTTAATTGACTGTCACTTGGTTAGTTTAGGTATATAATTGTGTGCATTTAATTGAATGTCATCTGTTTTATATATTTCTTGAGTATTTCATTAAGTGTCATTTTGTTTGCTTCAGGTATGTGTTTCTGGGTATTTACACATTAGAATGCATCATAAAAATTGTGGGGAGAGGATTTATCATCGGTTCATATACTTACATGCATGATCCCTGGAATTGGCTGGACATCTTTGTGATTTTCATAGCGTAAGTTGTATTTCTCCCTAAACTGTAACTTTCATTTTATTTGTTGTGTTTTAACATATGACTTCCTGTCAAGATGGCAAGGCAAGGGGATGTTAATTTTTTCGGCCAGCATCTAACCGGGACTGATTTTGTGCATCCCAGAGTGGAAGTTGTGTTATACTAGTCTGGTTGTGATAGTCTAGTTCAAGTGTGACCTCCTAGAAAGGTTGAAAACTCTGTGACTGGTCCAGCAAACCGACAGTGGTTTACTTTAGTGCTCCTAGAAAATGAAGAGTTCTCAGGAACCGACTAGAATGAAAGGGAACAAAATTGTGCACAATCAATGTATGCGGAGTTAACAACAAAGTAGAAACCATCATAGAAGAAACAAGAGTGCACAGAATAGCAATATTAAGTTTAGCAGACTCAAGAACTAAAGAAATATGTTGTAAGAAAGTAAACCTAGACTTTGTGTATGTTTATTCAGGAGTAGTGATGAACAAATGGGCAAAACACGGGGTTGGATTCATACTAGCCCAATGTTAGCTAAAAGAATTATAAACACTGAATACACCTCCCAAAAAAAATCATAACACTTACGACTAGTGACAGCGAAGTAAATACAATGTATATTCAAATAAATGCCTAGTGTAATGCAACTAAAAATGATGAAGAAAGCAAAGAATTTTTCAACACACTGAATGACAAAGTAAACAAGATCAAGAAAGAAGAAAATGTCATCATGGGTGATTTCAGTGCAAGAATAGGTCACTGGAAGGGAGCAGAAAAAAGCATAGGAAAATTAGAAGATAACAGTCGGAAAATGAGTATGGCTGCAGGCTGCTTGAGCTTTGTTATCAGCAGGATTTATTTATAACTAACACCTGGTTCCAACTCCTGCAGTCTTATATATATACGTGGTATAAATGGAACAATCTGAACTGTACAATTAAAATAGACTATATACCAACCAAGAGAAAGATAAGAAGAACAATAATAGATGCAAGATCAATCCCAAACTTATGTACGGACACTGACCATAAGGCGGTCATGCTGACTATTAGGACGAACAGGGGGAGGAATACTAGAGGACCACATTCAACCACAAAAGAAATATACACAATTTATAACTTTAAGAATGCTAATACACAAGAAGTATACCTTCAGAAAGTTGCTAAGGAATATACCATGCTAACTGAAGAAACCAAATCAGTAGAGAAGGAATGGAAAATATTTAAAAGATCAGTTTTAGAAGCAACAAGAGAAACATGAGGAATGATAAAGAAGAAAAGCACAAGACCACTAAATAACACCCTGGTGAAATGAGGAAGTAAAAACAGCAGTGTAAGAGAAGAAATGTGGATATCAGGCGTGGGCAAAATGTAGAAATCAAGATGATCTTAAAAAATACGGAGTTGCAAGAACGATAGCCACAGATGCTGTCAAAAACACCAAAGAAACATCATAGCAGAAATGCAGTGAAATGTTGAACGCTGACCAAAAAAGCGCTGCAAAAACTTTTATAAGCGAATTAAAGTTATGAGAGGTAGGAACAAACAATTTGACCTAACAGAAATGATAAATGACAACGAACCACAAAAGGTCCAAGAGAGATGGCGTCAACATTTCAATGATCTACTTATAATAATAAGAATAAGAAGAACTCCACAGGGGAGCATGTACAGCAGGAGTCTACCAATCATCAGTAGAAGTGATCCCTCGTCCACAATTGTTTCGGCCCACAATCTTCTAGACAATTTCAGAGGGTGGGCCCACCTGAGTTCATGAAGCTCAGGCTTGATCTGTTCCTGCTGAATGTATTACCGGATGTTCTCGTACAGGGACAAGACGAAAATGGTGACTATGCAACAGGTACAGTGAGATTCAAAGTTTATTTATAGTCGCTGTGGTAGCCTATTAGACCAGTCGGCACACCTTGACGACCAAGTGGTAAGCTTACAGTTGGTTTATTGGACACATGTTAGACTTTGTTGGCAATTAGCAGAGGGATACCGGCAGACAATTAGGACACGATGGACTTTTAGGGATAAGACTTCTTTTCGACTGGAGACCCGGCCAGCCTACTGAGGCCTGTCCCCCACGACATTTTGTTGTGTCCAAAGCCAGCTTGAGGCTCTCTCTGCAGCCTCGCCCAGTTGTTTTAGTGATCGTTTGCGCTCGTTTTCTTGTAATCCCAATTGCTTAATCACATTGTACATAGAAGGGGAGATAAGACTTCTTGCGCCTACCTCGACGGTGAAGATTCTTACTGTGTACGCTTCGTCTCTCCTCAGACCAGGCACGAGGTCACTGTATTTCTCGAGCTTATACATTTGACTTTTGTCTATTCATAACTCATACAGCACGGTCAGCTCAATCAGGATGAGCTGTAATTTCTCTGCAGAGTGTAGTACTATGTCAGGTCGCAGACTGGTCTTCCTTATTAACTCTGGGCACTTGACCAGGCAGGTCAACCGCCAGTAGCCAGTCCCTCGCACAGTCAAGCATCGATGAAGCGTATGCCACCTTGTTGAATTTACCTTTATAAATCTGCCCAGCCTTGAGGAAGTGTACAGGGATAATAGTAGGACTTACCCTAGGATTGGCCTTCCTCCTACCTTGGTCCACAATGGTCGCTAACTCTTTCAGGACCTTGTTGTGGCGCCAAGTACATCTTCCCTGACCTAGAGCTTTTCTGCAAACTGACAAAATGTGCTTGAGCGTCTGCTTAGCTGTACACAATGGGCATGTCGGGTCAGTAGTCGCATGCCACTTGAACATTTTGACACCAGACGATAACACATCGTAAGCAGATCTAACGATAAAGCTTAGTCGCAGCGGGCCATTCACCATATCTCACCCATGTGAGTACTCATGGCAAGGCGCTCTCAAGGCCGACATTTAACTATCAGAGGAACAATCCACAACTCAAGAAAAAAATAGCTACAAAAACGAAAATTTAGAACCAAGCACACCACTCGCAGAAATCAGAAAAGCTGTTGAAGAGGCACCTTTCAACAAAGTACCAGGCCCTTACCATTAGCCTGCTGAACTACTCAAAGCAACAAAAGAGGTAGGTGTAAAATGGATGCATAGACAGTTCAGCCTAGTCTGGACACACCAAAGACACAAGAAAACTAGAGGAACGTAATGATAGTACCCCTCCGGAAGAAGAAAGGCAGCAAGTGAGACTGAGAAGTATAGAGGAGTTTCGTTATTGAGCCACACCAGGAAAATGTTTTTTAAGATCCTTGAAAAAAAAGGGCTATGCCCTATCATTGAATCACAACTTAGTGAAGGGCAAATGTGATTTCAGAAGAACAGAAGTTGCACTGATGCAATATTCACCTTAGACAGTTTTCAGAAAGGACAATAGAATTTAATAAAGAATTACACGTCGCATTCATAGACGAAAAAGTTTTTGATCGAGTTGGTAGGAAAAAATTATGGAAGGTACTACAGGATTACGGAGTAAACAAACACCTAATTAAATTGTGCAATAAGATTTATACCTGAACAGTCAGTGCACAGTTAGAACAAATACAGGAATGTCAGAAAAGTTCTGCATTAGATCTGGAGTGAGAGGGGGGTGCGTTCTGTCACCAATACTGTTCATCACATACGTCAACCAAATTTGCAAATCAGCTAACACCAGCAAAGGGGACAACATAGGAGAATCACTAAATGAATTGATTGAATTGACCAGGCAATCATAGCACTAACAGCACAGAAATGAAATGTTCATGTACTATGCTAGGTGTAACATGGAAAGATCAACTAAGGAACAGTGATATCAGGAGCAGAGTCGGCGCAGAACCAATACTGAACTTTATAAGTAGACAACAAATCAAATGGTTTGGCCATGTGAAAAGATTGGCACCAGACAGGGCACCATAGACAGCAATGTTATACAGATACCGCGGTAATAGAGCCAGTGATCAACCACGCAGAACATGGACCACAGAAATATTAGAGATGCTGAAAAGTATATTATACAAAGTGAACAGAAGCGCCTGTTTCAAAGATCTCTTCCTGTCCTGACACTGTGACGCATTCCAGGAGTAGAGGAAAGAAGAAAGAAGAAGTTTTAACATAAACATTAAATTGCTAGCTTCCTTAATGTTTATGTTTTCAGTGTTGTAATTTACTTCCCCACATACTGATATGCATTAAGAATGAATTCAGTTGATCCAGTTTTCTTGTGTGTGTCCTTATTTTTATTTTTTACAATTTAATGTGGATGTTTAGTTGAAGTTTGGGTTTTTGAAAATCTTTTTAATTCTGTTCATACTTATCCTGATGTGTGTTCCGGGACCCCATTGTGGGGAAAACAAGAATAGCCTCACTGCCTCCCCAACAAGCATGTCGTAAAGAGTCGACTAATTAAATACTTCTTTCAGAGTCAGAGTGTATATGCCTGAGATGCAAGGAGCCAACATTCTGCATGCCGATAACAAATAAGCCATTTCTTTAAAATGGAGGCGCACCCTAAACTCAATTTCTGGAATAAGTCTAGAGTCCAGAAGTAGACCAATAAATAGACAACTTTCTACCAGAGTTTACAGCCATTTAACTTCTTCTTCTTCTTCTCTTCCACCTCTTACCTCATCGAAGTATTGGGGGGAGATGTAATGTTTGTTGATGAGCTCAGTCAAGAGCACTGTTAAGACTGATGTTCTTTTCTGTAAGGCTGTTCTTAATGCCATTACTCCATCATGTTTTCCGAGGTCTTCCACTCGCTCTATACCCGTTGTAACGTTTTAGAGTGGCTCGCTGTGGCAGATAGTACCAGTGCATTCTTGTTAGGTGTCCAAACCACTTTATTTGTTGTTCTTTGATGACCTGTAAGACTGACTTTATTCCTAGCATTGGTCTGATTTCGTGATTTTGTATTCTGTCTTTCCTTGAAACTCCTGCAGCTCTTCTAAGGCACTTCATCTCTGTTGTCACAAGCAATTTAACTAACACAAAGAAGAAAGAAGAAAAATTGTGTATTTATTGATGAGAACCTCCAAACTGTCAGTAGTATCTTATATCTGCTGGCTATGTCAGTAAAGCACACAGAACAACGTTACCCTTTTTGCTGCTACGTTTACGGAAAAACTAGTCCTGGAGAATCCTAGCTCCCCCCACCCCCACAGTGTGTGTGTGTGTGATGGAGAGAGAAAGAGAGAGAGAATTTATAAAATATTTTTTTTCATTTGTCCCCAGATTTTTAACCATCTTAGTGCAGGCTATTTTCCCCTCCATGCCAGTAAAAGATACGAAAGGTCTTCGCACTTTCCGAGTTTTACGGGCTCTTAGGACAGTTTCCATTGTACCTGGTAACTTCCTGTGGTTTATTTGTAAACAGTTTTTTTAATAGCTTGCTATGTTGTCGCATCAGATCACAATTAAAAAAAAAAAATATTTTTAACCAAAATGATATCTGTATGTGTGCGTGTGCGTGAGGGTGTGCATACAGTGTGTGTGTGTGTGCGCGCGCATGCATGCGTGGGGGGGGGAGAGGGGGAAGGGGGAGGGGGAATTATAAAAACACTCACTGACATGGTATTGCAGCGACTTGCTGCAGCCTATGGCCGGTGTTTGAAACTGGACGGTTCCCGGGGTTCACCTAGCCTGTAGGTAATGGGTACCAGAGTTAACAATCTGGCGTAAATGGAGGAACGTCGCTGTCGCTACGGAGTTTCATGCAGACGGCGACACAGGCGGACAGTTTCTTATCAACTGTCCTTACTGTTGGCAGAGCACTTATGGTTTATAATAGTGTGCACTGACGCTGGTTCACATCTTCCGACTTTACCTTACTTCACTGTGTCTACACACTATGCAGTTGCAAACAGTACCAGATTTGATTTGATTAAAGAACCGACATCACAGCACTCGGGGCATTCCCATAAGCGCTCTGTCCCCATCTTCAGCAGCCAGGGAAGAGTTCCAATACTAATGGTGCCAGTAGCATTCTGATTAAACGTCCATCTTGCCTTTCCTCTGAACCTCGAGCATCTGCCAGAACCTCTCGTCACTCCCCACTGCATCAATCTCACCAGACTGTGGTGATCCATCTGCTCCTCTGAACTGTACACGCTCTCCCACAAGGTGCCAACCACGTCTGCCTTATCATGTATCAGTATTCCACCAAGTTGTGCAGAGCCAGCCAGTCTGTCCACCTGTTCATTCCCCAACACACCGGCGTGCCCCGTCCAGAGTTACAGTACCAGAGTTGTTACGTAAGTATAGTAGCCTCTGCCTGAAGACCTTATGTCAATAAAAATCCACAAATACTGGGAAAACAGCTTTCTCTGGGTGACTGGATGACAAGGTTAATTATCTTTTTATGTGGGATGCTGCTGTTTAATTTCTTGTAAAGCAGAAGAACTTGATTCTTAATATACCCATATTGGCATCTCAGTTACTCCAATGTAGGTTTAAAAAATGTTGTGCCATCTCTACAGTGGAGGCTGGTTGCAGTACTTGTGTTATGGAAGTCAAACGGTCGTACATCAGGGATTGTGAAAAGCACCCAATAACCTATAAGTCAGAGTTTGGAAATTTCTTAAGAGAAGGAAGAAGAGAAAGGAAAATAAGAGGTGGAAAATAGATACAATAGGCTGATGATCTTTTTCTTTTGTTGATAGAGGAGCTGGCACACTGTGTGGTGGTTTACAGCTAGGCTGAGATATCTGCACCTTTTTGCCCAACACATACACATTCAGTTTCAGTAAACTTTTTTATTAGTTACCTTTTACAACATGCTTGTTGAGTGGGGCAGTGGGTCAATTCTCTCAACACCCCCCCCCTCCCCCCACTTTCCTTCCCTGGTAGCTACAAAGGATGGCTCTGATATCTGCTATAGTGGATTTACTTCAGAAACATGTCTCTTTGGGTCACTGAGTGTCATTATTTCAGGTTTCAATACCTGAAGGAGGGGAGTATTTAAAATATGGGTCTTCTCGATTTATGACCGAATTCTGTTCCAACAAACAGGTCATACGTTGAACTAGTCATATTTTTCAGCATTATTATTATTCAAACATGTTATAAAAATTGTACATAAAACTCAAATAGTGGGAAGCCTGCAGTTGTAAACAGTTCTTTTGCTATATGTTGTAGGGTCTAGGCATCAGTTCCTGTTGACCCTACCAATGTAGTTATCATTCTTATTTACCATTATCTATTTATTATGGTTGCATTGATTGTAAGTCAAGGAAAAGTTTTAATGAATAGGTTAGTTAGTTGCTTATCCTTTACAGGACGTTGCAGACCAATCCCAGCAACCCCTGGCTGTTGTGTGGTTTCTCTAGGCAAATTTACCTCCAGTAGTTTGTCATTGCTTTCTGGACGGTCGGCTTCTTGATATCACTGTCGAAACCAACGCAAGGCGCATGGCCGGCAGTTGGGATCGAACCTGGCACCCCGGCATTACGAAGCGTTTGCATCGACTTAGCCACAGAGCCGACAGTTTTAATGAATACTCAAGTTATAATTTGCTCTTCCTGTGTAACATTCTTGCTGGCTTGAAAGTAAAAATTAGTTTTTTTAATCTGTTGTTTATCTTGCAGGTTTGAAAACCATTGTTAGCGCCTTAGTACAGGCCTTCAAGATGTTAATTGAGGTGATGCTTCTGACAATGTTTTGCCTCATGATATTTGCAATATTTGCCGTCAAGGCCTTTGCCGGAGCATTGAGGCAGAAGTGTGTGCTGAATGTGACGGGATATGAGGATAGTTTGTCGCAGACATACGATGATTATTATGTTCAGTGGATCAGAAACTCAAGTATGATATTGTCTATGTGTAAAACTAGAGATGTGTTTGTCATTACCCTTTCACTACCAAGCAGCTCGCTCACCACATGTTGCCTAAATACTCTGTTCATTTCATTAGTTTCATGAATTTTTCAGTATCAGCCAGTTTATAAAGTCTCTATTCATAATGTCAAGACAGAATCACAAACACTGAGGTATTGGAAAGAGCATTTTTCTCAGTGCTCAATCTTCAAAGGCTTACGTGGCTGGGTCACACCTGGAGAATGGAGGATGGCCGAGTTCCTAAGGACATCTTCAATGGTGAATTTTAGACGGATGGAAGATGTTGAGACCTGCCTCTAATACAATGTCTTCTTCTTCTTCTTCTTCTGCTTCTTCTTCTTCTTCTTCTTCTTCTTCTTCTTTTTCTTCACGCTCACCATCTGTAAACTCAGGTAGAAAATTATGGCTGTTCTTCCATTTCTGGAGACTAGTCCTGATCCAGAACCTGAATGTTGCTTGCACATTCATTTTAAAGATCTGACTCATACGTTTGCAAACCGTTTACTCCTTGCCTCAGATGAACTCCAGCTTTAAAGGAAGCTGTCAATTATTCGACTCTTATAACACCTTTTTGGGTAGGCAGTGGATCTATTCTTGTTGTCCCCCACAATGGGGCCCTGGAACCCCTATGAGGGCTACTACGATATAAAGATGTTTGCAAGTGGAACATGAATTATACAGGTACTGAGGTGGATTAGTGGGAACAAAATGCCCTGAACCATGTTGTGTGGAGGAGGCAAGTCAGGAGGAGAATGAAAATGAAGAAAAATTATTGCAGAAAGGATGAGAGCTGAGCATGTGAGGAGAAACACGCTAATTACATTTGATGGCAGTAACAGTCCTGAGATCCCATGCTTTAATTGTGGAAGACTTTTCCTAGTGCAGGTGTGTCTTGCTAGTCACATTTGCCATCACCATTGGCTGTGAGACCCATGCCTCCTCATAACACAATATAGCACTATTGTCTGGAGCGGCGGAAATGTACCAACAACCGACTAATATCGATAACTCTACAGTATACAGTACTTAGCTGCTTCTGGCCTTTTATCATCATCCTGTAGCAGATCCTTTATAGAACATCACTTCCATCACAGCCTGCCTGAAATCCACTCAGTTTCTTGCCAGCTGTCATGCCTCATGCACTTTCCTGCCCCATATACTTATCTGCCCCATGTACTTGCCTACCCCATGTACTTTCTTGCTCTATGTACTTTTCTGCCCCATGTACTTGCCTGCCCCATGTAATTTCTTGCCCCATGCACTTTCTTACTCTATGTACTTTTCAGCCCAAGGTATCTCCTGCCCTATGTACTTTCCTGCCCCATGTACTTGTCCTGCCCCATATACTTTTCAGCCCAAGGTATCTTTAGTGTCCTGTGTCCACCTTTGAGCTGGTTAGTCTCAACATGTCCGACTCAATACCATGCCCTCTGTTACTGATCTTTCCAAATTACTGCAAGAATGGCCGAAATACTACAATTTTGCCGCAGGATGGGTACTTATCATGAATTTGGCCTCACAGCGAGAGTTCCTTCCCTTCCTATTCATGCTGCAGCGGGTCGCACAGCCAGTTCTATGTTGCATTGGTGTCATGTATTTCTTTCTTTCAACGGATTAACTATTGTCTCTTTCTCGTATTGTCACCACTCACTTGTGTGATTATTCCACGTTGTGCCGCTTGCTGGCAGTTTGAGAGTATGGAAAGAATGATGTTTTTGTAGTCCTACGTTCCTTCTCAATGGCTTTTTGTTCTGCGGGGGGAGAGGGAGGGATAACACCAATTAACATAGAAAAACGAAAACATCTCAGTCTCGATATTATGAACAGTCGCACCTTCGGCGCTTCCACCTGCAGCATTTCTTACTTAAACATAGGCGCCTGTGGCGCCTCAAAATAAGTTCCGCAAGATGCTGTTTATGAGTTTTCTTTTAGCAATTGCTTTTATTTTGGTTAGTGGTATCCCAAGAATCTTTTTATAGCATTTCAGCTCAAAGGCTCTGATTTGCTTTAAAATTATGGTACAGTCCACAACTCGGGTTCATATTTTGCTAAAGGAAAGACTCATGTCTCAAAATTGTGCCCATTCCATTGTTATAAAAATCTACTTTTTTTCATTTGCTACTTTCAATCCATAGTGTTTCATAGGTGTATTTAATCCTTACTGTTCCACAGTTGTATTACTTTATCTCATTACGATTAAAAGATTGTTTCTTTAAAGCACATGCACTTTGAGGAGGAAGTGTGGAGGCATTAATCATCTGGTACTATAAGAGTTGGTATCTTCTGCCCCATTCTTCTGTTTTATTTGCTTATTCTTTCCCAGCCTCTTCTGGTTCCGATATTGATAGGGAATAGATGATGGTTGAGAACTTGGCTTATGTTGACTGATCTCGTCACCGTTTCTCCTCCATTTTCAATGTTGCAAGATTGTGGAAGTCCGGTTTGCAGCCGGGGCTACTGAGTTTTGTGCGTCTGACGGTACTATGAGCTGTGATTATCATTTATTGACTGAGTTCAAGATTCGTACATAATGGCAGTGATTGGTGATGTATTGTTTTCGTTGTGTTTCTGTGACAAAGCGTGTGCTATTTATTTGCTGGCCATGGCACTATGTATGGCTAAGGCATTCACTTGAAGTATCCAGCGTATCTGACTCAGTTTGTGACTGGAATCACTGGCATAGGCGGTTGAGCAATTATGGGCCAAGCTTATTTGCTGTGATGCTGAAACTGTAACAACTAACTAAATAACTAATTCTTTTCCAGTTGCTGTATAAACTTTTCCTGGAAGATAGTTCTTGTTTTAACTTACCTAGACTCACAGTACACATAAAGTACACTTCTTCTTCTTCTTCACTTCCTCTTTTACCGCTGTGGGTGTCGAGGGAGATATAAGGTTCTGTTTCTAGCTCTTCTGGCTTATTCGACCATAGGCACATCGTGCTGTTGTAGAGTTTCTCTGATGTTATCCTTCCATCTTGTTCTTGGTCTACCCCGTGCTCTACATCCTTCTTCTCTTTCCATGTATGCTTTGTATGGTATGGTGTCACAAGGCATTCTCTCTAAGTGGGCAAACCATTTCACTTGCTGTCTTTGTATGTAATCCAGAATTGGTTCTGTGCCAACTTGTTCTCTTATGATCTCATTCCTGATCTTATCTCTTATGGTCACTCCTACAGCCCTTCTCAGACATCTCATTTCCGTGGTTACTAATTTTCTTTTATGGTTTGTTTTGAGTGACCATATCTGGCACTGGTAGCACAGAGTTGGAATAAATATGCTTTGAATAGGATGTCTCTTTGTGCTGAGTGGGATTGTCTTATGCTGTAAGAGGGGGCTAGCTGTCCCAATACTTGGTTTGCTTTACAGCATCTAATGTTAATTTCTTTATCCAATTTCCCATTTTCGGTAAATGTAGTTCCCAGATATTTAAACTCAGATGCCTGTTTAATGCCTTTGTATTCTATTGCTATGTTTAGTGTTGATTCTCATATTATTTGTTTTACATTCTTCATTCATGGATGTTAGATGTTGTTGCAATTTCATGGCTGTATCTGCTATTAAGGCCTGGTCATCTGCAAAGAGTAATTCGTTGATCTTACTAAGATCTTCATTCATGGGCTTGGCATTCTTGCATATACTGTCGATGTAGGTGATAAACAGCATTGGTGATAAGACACACCCCTGTCTTACTCCAGATGTCACTGTGAAAGGATGAGATGTTCCCTGATTTATTCTAACTACACTTCTACAATCCCTGTATAAACTTTTGCACACTTCGATGAGGTGTTCGCTTACTCCATATCTTGCCATTATTTTCCATAATAATTGTCTGTCGACTCTGTCAAATGCCTTCTCCTGGTCTACGAATGCCACAAATAAGATCTTATTGTATTCAATGTTCTTTTCTATTAACTGTTTAAGTGTGAAGATTGCATCTGTGCAGCTTCTATTTCTCCTAAATCCCATCTGTTCTTCTGCCAGCTGTGCTTCTATCACTGGTCTCAGTCTTGTTTCTATTATCTTGGCATACATTTTGCAACATGGCTTAAAAGAGAGATGCCTCGATATTGACCGCATTCTTGTTTGCTTCCTTTGTTCTTCCACAATGGTATAACTATTGCATGTTGCCAATCAATAGGGGCCGTTTGTTGTACCCATGCTGCATTGAATATTCTGTGAAGCCATCTGATGCTGCTTTCACCTGCTGCCTGAATTATTTCTGTTGATAATCTATCAGCTCCTGGTGCTTTATATTTGGGAGACTGTTTAATTACTTTTTCTATTTCATCCATTAGTATGTGTGGTTCTAACACTGTTGCTCTGTGCTCTTCAGTTGTTCTTTCCTGATGATCTCCTAGAGGATTAAAGAGCTCATTGAAGTATTACCTCCATCTTTCTGCTATCTCGGGTGGATCTATCAATGGCCTTCCTGTCTTATCATTAATTATTTCAGTGGGGTTGTAGCTCTCATCTCTTTTCCTCATATTTTCAACTACTTTGAAAAATTTTCTGCTGGCTGTTTTCTCATTTTCTGCTAGTGACTCACCGAAACGTTCCCAGGATGCTTGTTTTTCTTTCTTGACAGTCCTGTTGGTTTCTCTCCTTTGCAGTCTATAGTTTATATAATCTTCTTCTTTCTTTGATCTTATCCACTGTTTATGTGTCTTTTTTCTTTTTAATTGCTTCTTTTACTTCTTCGCACCACCAAGGTGAATATTTGTTATTTCCCCGTCTGTTTCCACTCTTCAGTTTTGCGGTGTCAGGCAGAATTAGGGAATTGGAAATCGACATTATAGGACACCCAGCTTACCCATAGATGCTATTTCTTTTAGACTGTAATTGATACCCTCTTTTCACTAGGATCATGGTCTTAACTTGCTCTGTTTTTATTATATTTCTTCACTGTGGCCCTCTTTGGCAGTTGGGCTTTTTTGTTAGTTGGCCAATCCATCTCATCACCTAGTTAACTTACGAAATAAATAAATACATAGAGTCAGTACCTTGTTAGCTGTTAGATATTTTATATATGTGAAATCTTTTTACTTAATTTGTTTTGCTCCTTTTGCAGGCAATTGGTATAAAGATTCTGAAAATCAGCATGCTGTGTGTGGAAACAATACAGGGGCGGGGTAAGTTGTTTGTAAACATTTAATAAATGTAGTATTGTTGAAAGTTTAAATCCAATCTTTTACTGAAAACTTGTTTGTAATGTTGTAATATTTATGTGGCTCAGAAAGTAAAAACATAAAATATACCTCTTTTTCTCTCTGTGCGTGTGTGTGTGCATGCGTGGATGTCTGAATCTGTGTCTCCATCTCATTCTGTCTCGCTCTGTCTCTCTCTTTCTTTAACGCTTTGTCTTTGATGCTCTTTATGTGTGTGTCTTTTTGTTTATCTGTCTCTCTCCCCCCCCCCCCCACCTCTTTACCCGCATGTGGTTTAGAACATCTCCTGATTAAGCGTAGATATATTACATTGTCGTGGTATGCCTCTGCTTTCTTTTAACTATGTTTTGTCTTTCAGTGTCTGATTAACAAGAGAGATCTGCTGCAAGCTTTAGTGTATGCTTCAATCGTGGCTGCAGTCTTGTGTCAGAAATTCCATCAATCTGGCATGTTCAGTGTCTTCTTCTTCTTTGTGTTGACCTGCTGTAAACTGGTGGACATTTACGGTTGTATCTACACTCCTCGACGTCAGTCTTTGTGTTGACCTGCTGTAAACTAGTGGACATTTACGGTTGTATCTACACTCCTCGACGTCAGTCTTTGTGTTGACCTGCTGTAAACTAGTGGACATTTACGGTTGTATCTACACTCCTCGACTTTAGTCTTTGTGTTGACCTGCTGTAAACTAGTGGACATTTATGGTTGTATCTCCACTCCTCGACGTCAGTCTTTGTGTTGACCTGCTGTAAACTAGTGGACATTTATGGTTGTATCTCCACTCCTCGACTTTAGTCTTTGTGTTGACCTGCTGTAAACTAGTGGACATTTACGGTTGTATCTACACTCCTCGACTTTAGTCTTTGTGTTGACCTGCTGTAAACTAGTGAACATTTACGGTTGTATCTCCACTCCTCGACTTCAGTCTTTGTGTTGACCTGCTGTAAACTGGTGGACATTTATGGTTGTATCTCCACTCCTCGACTTCAGTCTTTGTGTTGACCTGCTGTAAACTAGTGGACATTTACGGTTGTATCTACACTCCTCGACGTCAGTCTTTATGTTGACCTGCTGTAAACTAGTGGACATTTACGGTTGTATCTACACTCCTCGACGTCAGTCTTTGTGTTGACCTGCTGTAAACTGGTGGACATTTATGGTTGTATCTACACTCCTCGACTTCAGTCTTTGTGTTGACCTGCTGTAAACTGGTGGACATTTACGGTTGTATCTACACTCCTCGACGTCAGTCTTTGTGTTGACCTGCTGTAAACTGGTGGACATTTACGGTTGTATCTACACTCCTCGACTTCAGTCTTTGTGTTGACCTGCTGTAAACTTGTGGACATTTACGGTTGTATCTACACTCCTCGACGTCAGTCTTTGTGTTGACCTGCTGTAAACTAGTGGACATTTACGGTTGTATCTACACTCCTCGACGTCAGTCTTTGTGTTGACCTGCTGTAAACTGGTGGACATTTACGGTTGTATCTACACTCCTCGACGTCAGTCTTTGTGTTGACCTGCTGTAAACTAGTGGACATTTACGGTTGTATCTACACTCCTCGACGTCAGTCTTTGTGTTGACCTGCTGTAAACTAGTGGACATTTACGGTTGTATCTACACTCCTCGACGTCAGTCTTTGTGTTGACCTGCTGTAAACTAGTGGACATTTACGGTTGTATCTCCACTCCTCGACTTCAGTCTTTGTGTTGACCTGCTGTAAACTGGTGGACATTTACGGTTGTATCTCCACTCCTCGACTTCAGTCTTTGTGTTGACCTGCTGTAAACTAGTGGACATTTACGGTTGTATCTACACTCCTCGACTTTAGTCTTTGTGTTGACCTGCTGTAAACTAGTGAACATTTACGGTTGTATCTCCACTCCTCGACTTCAGTCTTTGTGTTGACCTGCTGTAAACTGGTGGACATTTATGGTTGTATCTCCACTCCTCGACTTCAGTCTTTGTGTTGACCTGCTGTAAACTAGTGGACATTTACGGTTGTATCTACACTCCTCGACGTCAGTCTTTATGTTGACCTGCTGTAAACTAGTGGACATTTACGGTTGTATCTACACTCCTCGACGTCAGTCTTTGTGTTGACCTGCTGTAAACTGGTGGACATTTATGGTTGTATCTACACTCCTCGACTTCAGTCTTTGTGTTGACCTGCTGTAAACTGGTGGACATTTACGGTTGTATCTACACTCCTCGACGTCAGTCTTTGTGTTGACCTGCTGTAAACTGGTGGACATTTACGGTTGTATCTACACTCCTCGACTTCAGTCTTTGTGTTGACCTGCTGTAAACTTGTGGACATTTACGGTTGTATCTACACTCCTCGACGTCAGTCTTTGTGTTGACCTGCTGTAAACTAGTGGACATTTACGGTTGTATCTACACTCCTCGACGTCAGTCTTTGTGTTGACCTGCTGTAAACTGGTGGACATTTACGGTTGTATCTACACTCCTCGACGTCAGTCTTTGTGTTGACCTGCTGTAAACTAGTGGACATTTACGGTTGTATCTACACTCCTCGACGTCAGTCTTTGTGTTGACCTGCTGTAAACTAGTGGACATTTACGGTTGTATCTACACTCCTCGACGTCAGTCTTTGTGTTGACCTGCTGTAAACTAGTGGACATTTACGGTTGTATCTCCACTCCTCGACTTCAGTCTTTGTGTTGACCTGCTGTAAACTGGTGGACATTTACGGTTGTATCTCCACTCCTCGACTTCAGTCTTTGTGTTGACCTGCTGTAAACTGGTGGACATTTACGGTTGTATCTCCACTCCTCGACGTCAGTCTTTGTCCAGAACTTGAACTGGCCGGATTTTTTGTTAGCAGATTGTTGGTTGTTCCTCTCTCAGGCAGGTGTACTCCAACTTCCACTATAGCTGACATTTACAAAATCCCTCCAGTTGTGATCCGTGAACTCACCCTGGGAAAGGTCTTCTTAGAAATGAGGTGCAGCTTGCTAGTCATGGTTTAATAATACCTTTTTTTTTTTAGTAGTTAAAAAAAAATGTTTCATGCCATTACCACATTGAACTGCTAAACTAATATTTGTGTAGACTTAGCACTTTAATTGTGATGTCAGCATCACATCTATTACCTGGACTTCTCAAAATGCTCCTTGTTAGCCACTTTTAGCTCAATCAGCCTGAAAGACCATCTCAATTTTTTTTTTTTTTTAAATCCGCCTGAATGTGGATTAAATTCTTAAACCTTTGGGCTGACAGGCAAACCTCTTGATGCTGCACTCTATTTTGAATGGATATATTAATATTTCTTTAAAAAAAACAAAAAACATGTCAGTTAAAATTTTGCTAGTTACCCATTAATTTGCTCTGTCACTCTTTTCAGTTTATATATTTTGTGTGTATGAATACATTTCTGGTAGACTGTGCCCGCAAGGATATATATGCATTCCTAATGTTGGAGACAACCCCAGGAATGGCTTTTTAAACTTTGATCACTTTGGCTGGGCAGCTCTGGCATCCTTTCAGTTGATTGCGTTGGATTTTTGGGAGGATATTTACAATAAGGTTAGTGTACAGCACCGTGAATCAAGACTGTGCATGCCAGGTTGGTAATGTAGATGTTAATGATTCAATAAGGACATTAGATCCCCTTTTTTTTAATGATGCTTTAGGCACATCGGATATGGGAAAAGCACCATTATTTTTACAGACCAATTGACACTAGTGGGTAATGTAGTCAGCATTACGCCTGCCGTCTGTACTTTCCCAGGACAGCAATCCTGGTACCCATTTAAGGCTGCGTCAACCTGTGACGCCCTATATCATGATACAAATTCATGCAGCCAGCAGTGGGTTTCGATTGCGGTACGTTGGAGTTATGAGTCGGACTCGTAACCCTTAAGCCACTGACGCCGCTCTATAAGGACATTGCAGCATGAAATATATTGTTATCGATCCAGCGGCACATGAGCTTTCACCCTTTGGCTCAATGCCATGCAGTGGAATGTTACGTGTTTTTACAGGCTGTTCTTTTCCTCTGTGCCAAGTGTTCCACTTTTCTGGTCTCGAAGAGAGTAGCATTCTTCTGGTCTCACTGAGTTTTACGCACTTAAAGAGATGATGGTCATCAGTTTTCGTAGGGGTAGTTTTACATTGCTGCACTGTGGGAGTGTTGTGGCTGTATTCTGTTTAGATGCCCATTGAGTGGAATATGTTGTGTTCTGAGTCAGAAGATGGTGGTCTGCTCCCTCCTTGTTAGATGGTGATGCTGTCGTTAAGATCAGGGCCAGTCAAATGTCTGTAAACCTCTCTTGCAGCATGAAATATATTCGTCAGCAAGTTAGTGTTGGATCCCAGTTAGTTAGCTGGCATCTTTCTGTCTTTCCAGACAATGCTGTTATTTTTGCGCTATATAGAGGCTTGGGAATTACAGTCCATGGTAGTGACTAGTGTGACTAGAATCAGTCACTTGTGTTGAGACTTCCGGTCAAAATGGACACTAGGCACTGGCATTGTTTGGAGCCGAGGCAAATTGTTTGCTTCTGCCAGACTGTGGCCGTTGCATTTTTGCTCCATTTGTAGACTGAAAGGATATAGTTTCGTCACCCTGCTTCTGAGTTGAATACATGGTGTGACACTGTTTTTCGACTGTGACCAACATGGTGTTGTGAATTGTAGATTCAGCAAACTCCTGTTGGTGCAATATTGGTGGTGCCATTATGTGATTAAAATTGATCGCGGGCGCAACTGCTGATCTGTTGGTGACTTCTGCTACCATCAATGATGAACTGCATTTCTAATGTCAGACTGTTTGTGTTAGCACTTCGTATGGTTACCGTATGCTTTTAATGCGTGTGTATACTAGATTTGCTGAGACAGCAGTCTGTCAATCTTTCCAGAAGGGTCTGTGATAAACATTCTGTGTGTTTTTTGTTGGCACAGGAGCGGAGCAACTATGGGGTGACCCGTTTGCTATGAAGCTGAAACTAAACTACCAGACTACCAGACCTGTGTTGAGAAGTCTTCCACAATTAGAGTATGGAATTTCAGGACCAATGTTGCCATAGCATTTATTTATCATGCTTCTTCTTAGATGCTCAGCTCTCAACCTATCAATCGTCATTTGCTCCTTTATTCCTGATCCCTTCCTGATTTTTCCTCTCCATACCGTTAATGGCATCCTCACAAATTCACCTCAGTAGCTGCATCATGCATGTCCCATTAGCACATATTGTTATATTGTAGTAGAGGTGGACCTCTGCATCTTCTACTCATCTGTGATTTCCCATGAAGGATGTCCTTTTGAACTCTATGGTCTCTGTGGCAAAACGGTTAAAAGCCATTTATCTTGTTCTCCAAAGTTTGTGAGTGTCATTTTGGACATCACCCTTTGGTTCATGAGTGCAAATATTTTGAAGGTTCCCTTCTGTGAACTTGGGGGGAGGGGGGGGGGGGGGAAATCTTCTATTAGGATCTACTATTTTCTCTTTCTAATGTGTTTTATATATAAGTTGACCTTTATTTCTTTTAGCTTCTTCTTGATGCTGTTGCTGCATTAGGAGCATGGTCTTCACCTTGCTCTGTGTTCATTTTTTTTTTTTTCAGCCCAGCCCTCTATGGCTCATTAGACACACAGTACAATTCAGGTTCTAACATCTTCTACCAATTCAGGGGGATTACAACATAAATCATTTTAGGCTACTCTGATGTAGTTATCATTAGCCAGACCAAGGGTTACTAAATGTTTTCAAATGTTTTTGCGATGTTGTGCTCCAGGAGTTTATTTTAAAAGTTCCTTGTATGCCATAGTTTTCCAAAAATCCAGCATTTGGTAGTAACTTTGGTATAATTGATAAGAGCACTGAAAAAAAATGTAGGGCCTGTGGAAGCATCTATTAAAAAAAAAAAAAAAGAAGAAAAAAGAGAAGAGAGGAAGAAATTTTAAAGGAAGAAAAAGAATATTGTAATTGGTATTTGTTTCGTTTATTATTTAAAACTTGGAGATTACTTTATTTTTTCAAAAATTTATCTATTCATGTGTATGAAATTACAGAGGATAAAGATTTTCTAGTGATTGGTAAGGTCGAAAAAAAAAATAGGGGAAGGGGTGTTGCATAGTTGTCTTATTATAACCACAAACCACGCACACACAATCGAGAGAGGAGGACCAAATAATTTTGGCAATCTGCATTCTGCGCTTTAAACCAGTCAGAGAAGAATCATTTTTCATGTTAATTGCAGGATCAGTACCCTTGCTTGTGTGTGCCAAGAGGTTTGTCTGCACTGAAGAATAAAGTCAGATTGCCCAAGTCCTTGTCACTTAGTTTCAAAGCTGGGATTGTTTTCAGACCTTAAGCCTCACTAAAGTTAAATTCAAGAAAATCAACTTCATTGCCCTGGATTTATATCCCGCATGGCTCAGTCTGTCTCCACAAAGCAGCTACCTGCCTGCCGAGAAAGCCACACAAAGTATGAATGCTGTAGCTGTAGCAGCAGTCCTCAAGGGGTCTCCTTAAAAACTTGCATTATAAACTGAACCTACAGCATTCAGAGCATGAGGCAAACAGATTTGCTGCAGAAACCCCCAAGACACTCACTAAATACATCTCACGCTGTGTGTGAAGTGGACATTCTGAAAAACTTGCCAGTAAAGAATTTTAACTGTTAAAGTCATTTGGTAGCAGTTTTTCCACTTCATCTCATGTTACAGGTTGTGAGAGCCAAAGGCCCATGGAGTATCATCTTCTTTATTATTGTAGTATATTTTGGGTCATTTTTCTTGATGAATCTGATGTTAGCTGTTGTCTCAATATCATATGAGGAGGAGGCTCTGAAAGCTGGAAAGGTCAGTATTTTGTTTTAGTAACTGATAATAGCAATAAGAGTCCTTTAAATCCTATCCTGATATATGGAAGTGAATCATGGACAGTTGAACAATTAATGACATTTTTTTAATTAATTGGCGTAGATGAGGTTTTGGAGATGATGATGAGAATACCCTAGACAGGTAAAAAGAATAATGAAGATCTCTTGAAAGAAACTGACTCATTAAGAAAACTGACTGCCCACATCAGAAAGAGACGTCTACATACCCTTCTCCTTTTATGAGAAAGATAAAACTGGAGCCTATCATGATGGTGGCGAAGTTGGGGGGGGGGGGGGGGGGGGAGGGGGGGGGGGGGGGAAACAGTGAGATAGAGAGGGAAGGTGCTATGCAGTTTGACATCATGGCATGGGCGATCAAAGCATGTCTGCCTACGCCACACAGCATGTACTTTAAAAAGGATTAAATTTGGAGGGAAGGGGGGGGGGGGGGGGGTTTAAGCCTGAGGATTTAGAGCCACATGGCTAATGCAGTCACTTCTTTGTATTTTAAAACATTCTTTTTAGCTCTTAGCAAAAAAACAAATCCGTCAGTTTATTGAGGGTTTAAACCTCAGGCCCCGGTGAAGGCTGGGATTTTTTCACATGGACTTCTAGTAATTTCCCCTTTGTCTTTTGACAGTAAGATCGGACGCCCGTGTGTATTTTTGCGCGCGTAAAAAATACTTTGGTAGTTGGAATCGAAAAAGAGTAGCCTCACGGCACTGCCCAGGCAAAATTTGGAGTTAAAAATCTACTCAAAGTCTTTCAAGATCCTCCCTGGTGCGACAGAGTTCATGCACTGCACTGAGATTCTTCAGACTCAGCCTTGAGTTAGAAGTAGAACGGAGCACTTATGGGTTATACCCGTGTGCCATGATGTTGATGAGTTGAATAAACATAAACATATAAACAGCATTCTGTCTCGAACGTTGAAGTGTTTTGGCCACATCAAACGTCGTGGTGGCATGGAAAAGATGGTGTTGGAAGGTGCAGTTTGTGGAAGGCGAGGCAGGGGTTGACCTCCGCGGACATGGAGACAGGACATTAAAGATGCATTGGAAATGAAAGCACATGGGGTTGGAGAGCTGGCTAGGGAAAGAGATACTTACAGGCATACCGTGAAGATAGTGACGTTCTGTAAAAGACTTGCTGCTTGATGATGTCGCAAGGGGGTCTATAAAGGACTAACATGCCGCATGTCATAAGAGATGATTGGATACCCACCCGGTGTGGGTTCCAGGGCTCCTTTTGGAAAAAAAGAGGCAGGGGGGGTTAAGCCTACTACTGCCCCTGACAAGATTGTCAAAAATTTGAACTGATTTGGAGTTTGTTAAAATCTGATATTTCGGGCTTAAAAATGCATATATCATAGCCTTGCTGTAAACCACAACATAACCAATGTAACCACTCCTTTAAGGGTAAACACAGAAGAAGAAGGAGATGCCCCATCCCATAGAAAACCTTGGACCAGTCTATAAAGGGATTCCTGGGAATTGGGACACAGAAGACACCATCCGCATGTCACGAACATTATAAGGAAATGCTGATACAGTGGAGGTTGGAAGCTCTGTCACACCCAGCCTGCAGTTCTGATCTGCCACCATTTGATTTTCATATGTTTGCTAGGTTGGGTCTTTGACCAAAAAAAATTTTTTTTAATAAAGATGTCAAAGAAACAGTTTCATACTAACATAGACATCATTACAGGTGTTACCAAATGATTCAGTATGCCACCAGACTTCATGGATGGTATCTTCTTCTGTCATCTCACAGATATCAGGTTATCGCCCAGTGTCATGGTTTTCTATATGCTTTGGGGATGGATTTGTTCATCTTTTTGCAGGATTCAGGTACACAATTTATCCACCTCTTTCTTGGTCTTCCGCCGATCACTCCCAGATGTTCGGCTATAAAAAGTCTCATTTGCAGTTTGGTCTGGCTGCATTCTCACTAGATGGCTGAACCATTTCATTCTTTGTCTGTCAGTATAAACCAGACATGGTCTTATTCCAACTTGTCTCTCTAATGCTGGTATTTGCTTGTGCTGTCAGTGACCTTGGGAAGACAGCAGCACATTTCACATGAAGTTATCTTCTGTTCTAGTGCCCTATGCAGTGTCAGTGTTTGGCACTGACAGCATAAAGTAGGTATGAAGATTCTATCAACCATTTGCTGTTTTGCTGAAAAAGGAGACATTTAGGTGTCTCCTAAACAGTGACATCTGTAACTGAATGCCTGTTGCAACTTCTGACAGTTGCAACTTCTTACACCAGACGTACAATTAATTGCTACCAATCTTTTTAAGACCAGTGGCAAATCAGGCATATGATGCTAGAGCCATATTTGTATAGATAAAATGGCATTCAGTAGACCATGTTGTCATCGTCACACTTGCTGCCATCACTTCTCAGGACTTGATACCAATTTTTAGGTTGGGTCAACCTGTAGGCCAAGGTCATTAAAAAAAAAATTTGTGTGGATTCGAACCCAAGACCTTTAACTAGCAGGCAAGCATGTGGCCTCTAGGCCACCACAAATACATTTTTAACAGTTACTCTCATTAAGAACTTTCTTCTGCTGCTGGGAAAGTTGCGGAAGCTCTTACATTGTCAGCTCACACGTGCCAGGCATTCTATTTCCTTTCGAAAACGATATTCAAGTTCCAACGTCACAATTGTACGTTAATTAACTTATTTAGTTTGGATTACAAGTTGTGAGAATTTTTAAGTGTTCGAATTCCAAGGTACAACTGTATTCAGTATCTAAAAAAATAAAATAATAGAATATATGTTTGTGTATGAGTGTGTGTATGCGAGAGAGGGGAGAGAGAGAAAGAGAGAGCTTAGCAAGGTTAAACAAGATATTATTAATTTACATGATGCTACAGTGACCACCTTATAGTTTGCTAATTTACAATTTCTTTGTGATCACGAACAGGAACGAGAACGAGAGAAAAAGGAAAATGCTCGCAAAAAAACATGCAGCATACCATACTTCCGCGTATAGTGTGAAAAGTATGGAAGTTTGTAAATGGGGCACAAATCTGACTGTTGACAACTTATCAGTGCAGACGGATGCTAACTTCAGTGCTTTGTCAGAAAGAGCAATGCCCTTAGATGAGACACTGTTCCCAACAGTATTCAAGAAAGTATCACAGGTAATATAAGTTTTGGTGGTTGTCTGTATAATCCTCTTCTTCTGGTGTCCTACTACTCCTGCCATAAAGCATTACAGAGGGGAGTTAGATCTAGTTTTCTGTCTTTTGCTAGTTGCGTCACTTTTGTTAATGTCATGTTGTGTTTGTGTAGTGTCTCTTTTACTCCCTCCATCCATATTTTCTTGACTGGACTCTTGACTTGTAGCCTGCTATTGTCATGCAATATGCTCTAGCTGCTGGCCGATTTTGTTCACTTCTTACCAGATAACCAAATGATTTGATTCTTTGTGTTCTGTGAAATCTTTTACTCATAACATGCCTACCATTATTCTTAGTTCTTCATTGGTGACCCAGTCTCTGCTTGTTTTCTCCTGCCATTGTTCTTGTACATCTCAACTCACATGTTGTAACTTTGCATTTATTGTCTTCTCTAAAGATAACATGTGAAAACATACACATGAATAATACCTAGTTATGCATAGTGCATTGTTTGGGTCAGAAAAAGTTAATTTATGTTTTTCTACATTTAACATCATCAATATCGTTTTTGTAACAGGTGTTCTACCCTTATTTTTTATTTGTAGACCGCAAGTCTAGCAGAACCAAAAACTCAAGCAGTCACTATAATCAAAGGTATGTGGTATTTAACATCTTCCTCACATTATGCTGTATATATATCACATATGGCTTGTAGTCTATTCATCTGTCCCATTCTGTCCTGTCCAGTTTTTTCCTGTATCATGGATGTAATCCAGTCCATCATTTCTGGCCTTCCGCATCAATATTCATCTTAGGATGTCTCATTGATGTCCTCATTTCTTCAATCTATTTGTTTTCCCATTTCAGTACCTATTTTGTGATGCTTTATATTTCTAATGATAAGTAGTATTTGTCATCCAACACTTAGTTATCATTGTCAGACTTTTCAGATTATAAAGTAATCAGTGGATTTGATCATCGTCCTGTTGTACCATTGCACATCACATAGAGCACTCAATTTAATATTATGGATGGAATCCAGTCCTATATATATATATATATATATATATATATATATATATATATATATATTATATATATATATATATATATATAACTTCTGATGACAAGTATAGATTAGGGAAGATACATAATTGGCCTGTGTACCCAATGTGTGTGTCTCTTAACACCCCCCCACCCCCCTCCCCTGATATATTGATTGCCGTTAGCTTCTAACTGAGTAATGATACTTATCTTCTCTCACCTTATATGTCAAGAACTCTTTTTACAAATCTCATTTCATAGGTCGCATCAGCCATGAGTGATTCTGTATCTATAGCCTTTTCATGTCACCACAAAGACATAAGACATACACAAATTAACTCCAGCACAGTATGTGTTCTTCTTCATCAATATCATCAAGTGCCTTGCCTGCTGGTGTAAGCGTTTATGCATATCTGCAGATCTTGGACTTTGGTGTTCTGGATCAATTCCACTGATAGTATTCCTCCATGCCACTATCTTAAGCCATCCACCATCATTTCTCTTGGTCTACCTCTGCCTCTTCTATCAGTGTTCTTTCCAGTCGTCATGATATTTTCTAGTGCTTCTTTTTATGACCAAAGAATTTTGTCTCCTTCTCACTGTTGTATATAATGTTCTACTTTCATTAGTCATTTCCAGGCAATCATTGTTGTTTATTCTGGCAGTCCAAAGTATTCCCAACATTTTTCTCAAGAACTGTTGTATATAATGTTCTACTTTCATTAGCCATTTCCAGGCAATCATTGTTGTTTATTCTGGCAGTCCAAAGTATTCACAACATTTTTCTCAAGAACTGTTGTATATAATGTTCTACTTTCATTAGCCATTTCCAGGCAATCATTGTTGCTTATTCTGGCAGTCCAAAGTATTCCCAACATTTTTCTCAAGAACTGTTGTATATAATGTTCTACTTTCATTAGTCATTTCCAGGCAATCATTGTTGTTTATTCTGGCAGTCCAAAGTATTCCCAACATTTTTCTCAAGAACTGTTGTATATAATGTTCTACTTTCATTAGCCATTTCCAGGCAATCATTGTTGTTTATTCTGGCAGTCCAAAGTATTCCCAACATTTTTCTCAAGAACTGATGTATATAATGTTCTACTTTCATTAGCCATTTCCAGGCAATCATTGTTGTTTATTCTGGCAGTCCAAAGTATTCACAACATTTTTCTCAAGAACTGTTGTATATAATGTTCTACTTTAATTAGCCATTTCCAGGCAATCATTGTTGCTTATTCTGGCAGTCCAAAGTATTCACAACATTTTTCTCAAGAACTGTTGTATATAATGTTCTACTTTCATTAGCCATTTCCAGGCAATCATTGTTGTTTATTCTGGCAGATCAAAGTATTCCAACATTTTTCTCAGAACTGATGTATATAATGTTCTACTTTCATTAGCCATTTCCAGGCAATCATTGTTGTTTATTCTGGCAGTCCAAAGTATTCACAACATTTTTCTCAAGAACTGTTGTATATAATGTTCTACTTTCATTAGCCATTTCCAGGCAATCATTGTTGCTTATTCTGGCAGTCCAAAGTATTCCCAACATTTTTCTCAAGAACTGTTGTATATAATGTTCTACTTTCATTAGCCATTTCCAGGCAATCATTGTTGCTTATTCTGGCAGTCCAAAGTATTCACAACATTTTTCTCAAGAACTGTTGTATATAATGTTCTACTTTCATTAGCCATTTCCAGGCAATCATTGTTGCTTATTCTGGCAGCCCAAAGTATTCACAACATTTTTTTCAAGAACTGATGTATATAATGTTCTACTTTCATTAGCCATTTCCAGGCAATCATTGTTGCTTATTCTGGCAGTCCAAAGTATTCCCAACATTTTTCTCAAGAACTGATGTATATAAAATGTTGCTCATATGTAATCTTAGTTTGTCTTCAAACTAAGTTTCTTTGACTTCTATATCATGACTGATTAATTCATTATTTTCAGCCGATGATCTGCTCGACCCAGCAGTTGGTGTCATGGATTTTAAAGTTATAGACCGCAACTGTGACTGCTGTGGAAAGTGGGTTTGCTACTACACTGCTTTGCTGAAGATTCAGAACCACTTCTACTCATTTGTGTCAGATCCTCTCTTTGATTTCATGATAACGGTGGCAATCATCATCAACACGTTCTTCATGTCATTGGACCATTACAACCAGCCAGAGTTCCTTACCAACGCTTTGAATGTGTTGAATGTTGTAAGAAACAAATTTGATTTTATTCGTTTAAAAAAATTTGCATTGAAATGTAAATTGAAATTGGATTTTTTGTGTGGGTAACAGTAATGTAATGCAAAACACTAGCATCCTTCATGATCTTAGCATGAAGAAAAATTGGCTCATAAACAGCATCCTGTCCTAAAAGCTAAGGCATTTAGATCATGCTAAACGTCATGGTGGCCTGAAGAGAGCAGTGATGGAGGGTACATTTTCTAGAAACGAGACAGAGGCAGACCTCAGATAAAGTGGATACAAGACACTGAAGATGCATGGCTATGTAAGTGCGAAGGACTGAAAAATTAGCACGAAAAAGAGACTTCCAGGCAAACCATGAAGAGAGCGACCTTCTGTAAAGGATCTGCTAACTGATCATGAATGTAATGTGCTACCAAAGTCGATGCAGAGAAATGTAATTTCATAGTGGCCAGGTGCTTGTCTGCTGGCCAACGTTCTTGGGTTTGAATCAGCGTTGAATCAGAATTTTTTTTTTTTTAAACAACCTTACACCGCAGGTTGATCCAGCATTTTATTACCTGCTTGGAAGTATAGATGGCTGCCACGGTGGCTGTATCACCCATCGAGTTCCTTTTGGTGTATTAAAATATGAGGGAGATTCAAATTAAAAACTTTAACAGATGTGGTAGAAATTATTATGATAACCACGCCATTATCATGTAACCTGTCAATATTGTTGTCAGAAATGTCAAGGATTTTAAAAACATGACATTACGGTGCAGACACACATGGTAATATCATAATGACAGTTCAAAGATGGCCGCTCAACTTTTGACATACATCTTTGAACTGTCTTTATGAAGTCACCATGTTTGTGGGAGTTACAGCCAATAGAGGCCATGGATAAAGTTCTTCTCTCCATAGCACAAAGCCTGGGCTATATGAAAAGACTGTGTGTTGAGGCGCAGCCTGATCTCTTTCTCTTGTCCTGTCTTGTTTACTCAAAAGGAAAAGTAACACAATACTTAAGTACATAGCCAACTATACGCACTTTAAAACAAAAAAGTTGCCATCATTTGCCAGGTCTGTCATCCACTTGAGCCCAGAAGAATGTGGAAACAATTTGTGTCTAAATATTCATATAGTTAAATGAGGAATCAAAGTTCAGGTAATAAGCACACTGAACTGAAACATTATATAGTATCATCATCATCATCATCATCAGATCCCATAACACTGCGTGTTGTTGGGTCACCAGTTGCTGCTAACTATTTAATCAGCTCCCTCCACCTTTGACGGTCAGATGCAATGGACTTCATGGATGCATGCTAAGGCCTATCCAGTCAATTAAGTTGTCTATCCAACATTTTCTTGGTGTGCCTCTTCTTCGCCTCCCCTCTACTGAGCCATGTAATATTGTTTTTGATAGGCCTTTAGACTGACTGACTGACTGACTTTCTACCCCACCAGGACATCACACAAGCGATAAACACCCGATGACACAATGTGCCACCATTTGGGTGAGAATCACTGTGGAGAGGTCCCAGAAACCGCGTTCAGCCTCTAGGCCATATTTATGGCCAGGCTATATTGTGGCCCCTGGCAAAGCCAGAGTAGGGTTTCAAATAACGAAAAATTTCATCCTGAAAAAGACGGGAAGAGTAGATATTAATTCCGAGACCTTTAGACCTTATTATATGTCTGTACTGTTGCATTTTCTGTCTTTTCACTAAAGTTGAAAAAAATGCATAGTTGCCAATATATATTGTACAAAGTACATTTAAACAAGAGACACATTTTGTTATTATAATTTACGAAATATTTCAGTTGCCTAGGACGACAGTATTAGCGAATTGCCTACAACAAAATAGAACTAATTAATTAAATGTTTCTTCTTCAACTCTTTTGGTTGCAGATGTTTAGCAGCAGGAGACCAAAAGGGGATATAACCATAGCTTTTTTTTTTTGTAAACCAGCCTGTACTCTCCACAAAGTATCTATTGCAATAGTGCTGAAAAACGATCATGCCTTTAAACCAGCCTGTACTCTCCACATTTTGTTTTGTCAGTATCTACTTTTAAAGAGGTTAAATATATAGTGGCAGTTAATAGTGGCAATTATATCTTTCATATGTTGTTTTAACACAAAAGTGAGGACCCCTTTATAAAACTATTGCATTAAAAAAAAAATTTACGTCCTTTTTAGGATTACATTTAACTTTTTAAAGCCCCACTCTGGGTTGCCAAATATATAGTGGCCATCAGTTGGCAAATAGTGGCAATTTCTGACCTCTCCACGGTGATCCTCATCCATGTTGTTGCATGTCAACACAAAATCGCTTGTGTGATGACCCGGTTTCGGTAAAAGTCCCAGTCACTCTCTGTTTAGCCCATAATGTTCCCAAGTGAGATGAATTTTTCACTGCTTTGAAGCCCCACCCTGGTTCTCACCGCGGGCCCTAATATAACCTAACAGTTGAACAGGGTTTCTGGGACCTCTCCACTGGTGATCCTCATCTGAATGGTGGCGCTTTGTGTCACTGTGTGTTTATTGCTCTTTATGATGTCCTGGTGGGGTAAAAAGTCATTCATTCATTATTCTACTCCCTGTGTGTGTTCAGGAGGGGGATAATAGACCCACTGCTTCCTTATCAAGCATGTCATTAAAGGTGATCAATAAGGAATTTATCCTACACAATTGGAGCGCATCTGCCTCAGAGGCGAAGACCAACAGTTTGTATTCAGATAAACAGATCTGTCAAAAAATGGATGTGCACTAAGGTCCAGACGTGTGCAAACAACAACAACCAGAACTTTCTGCTGTAGTTTACAGCAGTGAAACTTGAAGAAGAAGAAGAAAATCTCTATACACAAAGCACACAAATAAGCCTTCTCCCACAATTTATACTTCACTGTGGCACAATAAGGTACAAGATGAGATGAGATTCCTCAACAAGAAGAAGAATATCCATACACAAAGCACACAAATAAGCATTCTCCTACAATTTATACTTCACTGTGGCACAATAAGGTACAAGATGAGATGAGATTCCTCAACAAGAAGAATCTCCATACACAAAGCACACAAATAAGCATTATCCCACAATTTATACTTCACTGTGGCACAATAAGATACAAGATGAGATTCCTCAACAAGAAGAAGAATCTCCATACACAAAGCACACAAATAAGCATTCTCCCACAATTTATACTTCACTGTGGCACAATAAGATGAGATCAGATTCCTCAACAACAAGAAGAATCTCCATACACAAAGCGCACAAATAAGCCTTCTCCTACAATTTATACTTCACTGTGGCACAATAAGATACAAGATGAGATGAGATTCCTTAACAAGAAGAAGAATCTCCACACACAAAGCACACAAATAAGCCTTCTCCCATAATTTATACTTCACTGTGGCACAATAAGGTACAAGATGAGATGAGATTCCTAAAGAGGAAGTTAATGGCCAGTTAGAAAATAACAAATGCTCAAATGAATTGAAAAATAACATTTTCAGTGAAATAACATATTCAGAAATCTTCATAATCCTGAAATTAAGATCAAAAGGCTGGATAGGTCAAAACCACTAACAAATAGTTAGAACCCAATCAGCAAACTTAAAAAAAAAAAATCATATTCAACTTGATGTCCATACTTGACCTTTGGGTCATCAGGGTGCTGGGCTAGCATTGTGAGACCAACTTAGCCAAACAGACGAATGCATGGACACATTCGGAAAACTTCATACCAGGTCAGAAAACCAGCTATTGCTCTGCTGTCTTTTATCTTGCATTTCAGGTTTTTGCTGTCATTTTCACATTGGAAAGTATTTTCAAAATGATTGGCTTGGGAAAGTATTACTTCTTGGCTGGGTGGAATATATTTGATCTAATTACTGTGATAGTCAGTGTGATTGATGTGAGTCTTGCAAACGTGGCAGGACTCAGTGTGCTGCGAATATTTCGTCTGGTAAGTTGAACTAATTTGGCTTGTAAAGAGCAATCTGTCCTAAAAACTCAGGGTATTTTGGCCATGTTGAATGTCACGGTGGCCTGGAGAAAGTGGTTTGTTATTGTGGTCATGTTGAATGTCACGGTGGCCTGGAGAAAGTGGTTTGTTATTGTGGCCATGTTGAATGTCACGGTGGCCTGGAGAAAGTGGTTTGTTATTGTGGCCATGTTGAATGTCACAGTGGCCTGGAGAAAGTGGTTTGTTATTGTGGCTAAGTTGAATGTCAGGGTGGTCTGGAGAAAGTGGTTTGTTATTGTGGCAATGTTGAATGTCACGGTGGCCTGGAAAAAGTGGTTTGTTATTGTGGCCATGTTGAATGTCATGGTGGCCTGGAGAAAGTGGTTTGTTATTGTGGCCAAGTTGAATGTCAGGGTGGTCTGGAGAAAGCGGTTTGTTATTGTGGCAATGTTGAATGTCACGGTGGCCTGGAAAAAGTGGTTATTGTGGCCATGTTGAATGTCACGGTGGCCTGGGGAAAGGGGTTTGTTATTGTGGCCATGTTGAATGTCACAGTGGCCTGGAGAAAGTGGTTTGTTATTGTGGCCAAGTTGAATGTCAGGGTGGTCTGGGGAAAGGGGTTTGTTCTTGTGGCCATGTTGAATGTCAGGGTGGTCTGGAGAAAGTGGTTTGTTATTGTGGCCAAGTTGAATGTCAGGGTGGTCTGGAGAAAGTGGTTTGTTATTGTGGCCATGTTGAATGTGGCTGTGGCCTGGAGAAAGTGGTTTGTTCTTGTGGCCATGTTGAATGTCGCTGTGGCCTGGAGAAAGTGGTTTGTTATTGTGGCCATGTTGAATGTCACGGTGATCTGGAGAAAGTGGTTTGTTATTGTGGCCATGTTGAATGTCACAGTGGCCTGGAGAAAGTGGTTTGTTATTGTGGCCATGTTGAATGTCACGGTGGCCTGGAGAAAGTGGTTTGTTATTGTGGCCATGTTGAATGTCACTGTGGCCTGGAGAAAGTGGTTTGTTACTGTGGCCATGTTGAATGTCATGGTGGCCTGGAGAAGTCTACAAATCAATGAACAACCAAAACTTTCCACCTCATGCAGAGGTATTTTGTAAGCATGACTCTTGTTCTTTGCCCTTCAGGTAGATGCACTTGACTTTGAAAAAAAAAACTCACTCCTAATTAGTCATCTTCTGTGCGATGCATGTGGGGGTGGGAGGTGTATTCTTTATTTTTCAACATGGACGTCTGAATCCACATGGAATCCACAGGTAGGCTTTAAAGATAATCCTTCACAAAACTAAACTTTCTCTTTCAGTCTCAAGAGTCTGTCAAGTAAAATGCTGATTTCACTTGTCTTGACATTATCTGGCCCTCATTTTAGCCTGTGTTGACATAGCAACCATACAGTCATAAACAAGGTCATGAAGCACATTCTCCTCTTTATGGATTTGAATGACCACTTGACTGTGTTGGCAAGCATTCTAGCCACTCTGCTGCTACTAAAAGTGTTGATATTTAAACTGGTAAATTCAGACTTGCACATTTTCATCAAATTTAAAAAAAAAAATATTTGTGTGTTTTTTTGTTTTAGTTTCGGGTTCTAAAACTGGCCCAGTCTTGGCCTACAATGAGACTGCTTGTCACCATCATTCTCAGCACACTAGGAGCGCTAGGCAATCTCTGCGTCATCCTGTGCATTATCATCTACATCTTTGCAGTTATTGGCCTGAATCTCTTCCGAGATACTCACGGGAAAGAAAAGATTCATCCACGGTACGATGTTGTTTGTTGATTATTTTTTTTTTTTTTTCAAAGACTTTAATATGAGTATTTGTTTAGTTACTCTTTATTCAGTTAGAGATTTTTCATGGCAAAGTGGTGAAACCAATTTCCTTGTTCACTGAAGGCTGTCAATATATGGAAGTTGAAGGGACTTATTTTTGAAGACAAAACTCAAATTATACAAAAGCAACATTTTAGGAATACTTTTATACAATAATGAGTTTAAGCAGTGTGCAGAAAAAAAAAACTAAATGAGAATTATTTCTGTTTGAAATTAGAAGCGACAGATCGCTGGGTAGGTCTGGAAATGAACGAACGAACAAACTTTATTTTCAAAGGGTCACAAATTGGGCACCCAGGCCCGTCTTACATTCGGCCCTTCCAGTCAACCATCTTTCGCACAGCAGTTGTATTTTACTAATAAAGCATGTTATGATCATATGATTATATGCATATTATGCATATTATGAATATTATAAAAGAACACAAAAACTAAAGTGCGTGCAAAACCCTGCGCGTACATACACACCCACATACACACGCTCACCCACTAACTTACACACACACATACATGCATGCATACATACATACATACATACATACATACATACATACATACGTACGTACGTACGTACGCACGCACGCACGCACGCACGCACGCACAGACAGACAGACAGACAGACAGGCATGCATGGAGACATGCACATGCATATATTGAAACTCCCACAGACACACATGCAGAATCACACACTAACACACACCCACAGAGACACACCAACTCACGCAGACAAAAATACAGAGACACACACAGACACTTACACATAAACACACAGAGAGAGACACACAGCAGACATATATACATACATGCTCACACACTGACACACACACGTACATACGCAGACACATACAGTCACGCAGACAAACATGCAGACACATACATACAGCAACATAGACACACGCAGTCAAACCCACACACACAAATACAGACAAACATATACTGAAACCCACACAGAAATTCATACACAGACACACACATTCAGACAAACACACAGACACACACTCTCAGACAAACACATAGTAATATAAACGCAGACAGACACTAGCGTCACATATACACAGCACACACAGACATATACTCTGACATGCAGACACATACACACAACAAAAAGGCACACACAGAGACACACACATATAATATTTTGACCAGACTAGATCACATATGAAGAACTGAGGAAGAGACCAACATGTTTATTACTGGCAATCATTATCAAAGAAAGTAGATAGAGAGGGCTTGGTAGTATTTTCAGAATGACTCATGACTCGGTGGCAAGGACAACAGATGAGAGAAAGGAGATGAGGACAACCTAAAGAAACCTAGAGATGGATGGTAGAATGAGAAATGAAGAAATGTAAAATGAAATGGGATACCATAGGCAGAAAAGGAGCAGTTTGGCAGCAATGGAGATTGCTTGTAAAAACTGTATGTGTCAGCATTGACATGAAGAGGATATAGAAATAGACTGCAAGTTATGGATTTGGTTGTGGACTTTATCGTTGAGTTTGCATATGCTGGTAATTTATAGATCCCTGAGAGTTGTCACTGAAGCTAGGGTGATTTGTCTTAGCAGGCCACTAGCCATTCTGCAGAGAATGACAAAGCCATATTGGACAAAACTCAGGGCATTGAAGTCAGTTCTCTTGTATTTAATTGTTTCAGTCTTAGAAGTTTGGCAAATAAATGTCAAATGAGGCAACCACTGTAAAAAATCCTGTGTGTATTATTCTTTAAAGAGGCTATATACTGATTTAAAGTAACCGTTGAGGAAGCCAGATTTCTTTACAATGATCTAATCAAAAGATAAAAGCTAAAGAACAGAGGAATTGATGGCTGAAATCACATACCACATGTTTTTTGGAACTGAACTCTCAACTCTTTTTGGTATTACTTGAATTCATTATATTCTAAGAGTTGTACGCTTAACATAGCATTACCTTAGTCAGAAGCAGTTCACAGAGGCATTATGGAGCTAAAGTAGTTAAACTAATAATTCAGATACAAAGGGTTAATGTGAAGTCTGTCTGTGATAACAAGGGCCTTTGCCGTTCATGGCACATGGGATGGTCAATTTGGACGCAAGTCCTGTGCGGAATCACAGTTAAGAGATTTCAGAGGCAACATTTTTATAGACTGAGGCAGCTGATGCTCATAAGGTTTGGCACCCTGATACCACAGGAAATGGAGGTGGAGGCAGACTCTGTAGCCTTTCATTGGCTTGAGAACACATTTCGTGCTTGCAGCAGCATTGCAAGGGATACTGAAAATCATGGAAGCAAGCATGCTTTGGGCAGAATAGCAAGCATTGCTACAAAGTTGGTGGGAATTTGCATCCTGTGGATCTTCTCTTCAGGGCTGGTTCTGCACCATTTGGTGGTAAATTAATGCATGGCACTCCAGACATGTGCAAGGTCCTGTGGGTGCAAGTGAACCGTGCCGTAACAGGGACAGAACATTTGTGTCTGAGATAATAGTGCAGGATGATGATAATGGTGACACATTTTGGTCTTAAAATTGAACTCCCTGAGATAGAACTGAGATAAGAACTGACATCATAGCTCCCCATCTTCAGCACAGAGTTCCAGTTGTAATAGTACCCTTGAGATAGAGTGAGTTAGACTAATGATCAGCTTAGACTGAAAGGGTTTGGCTGTGACTAAAAGGGTAAAGTCTTTAACTAAATATGTTGTTTTAATTAGTACATATTTTCAATTAGCAGTTATTTTTTGTTTCTGTTCTTCTGTCATTTAGGTGGGGCTTTTCAGATTTTTATCACTCAATGCTAATGATTTTTCGAGTCCTTTGCGGTGAATGGATTGAGCCACTGTATGCGTGTATGACTCTGAATGAAGAAGTTTGCCTGGCCATCTACCTGCCAGCGCTGGTCTTTGGAAATTTCATTGTAAGTACTCAGATGGCAAAGAGTTGAAGTTGAGAGGATCAGTATCATTCCTCCGTGTTGTATCCTATTTGGCTCTCTCTCTCTCTCTCTCTCTCTCTCTCTCTCTCTCTCTCTCTCTCTCCCTCCCTCTACCCTCTTTCTCCCTCCCTCCCTCCCCTCTCTCTCTCTTCTCTTTCTCTCTCTCTCCCCCTCCCCCTTTCTCCCTCCCCCTCTCTCTCTTTCTCCCCCACACCCCCCCCCCCCACCCACCCACCCACAGAATGGCTACCATCTGCTGAGAACATCATGTAGAGCGCAGACTCTGAAGCTCTGGTGATGATGATCTCCATTTAAAAAAAAATTTCATTACTTGTGAACTGAATGTCGCAGCTTTGAAATGAACCCTTGACCTTCAGAAGCAAATGGCTTGACTATTTCAAGGCAGACTTCCACATGGTAAAGAAAGTGAGTAGATGTGATTCTTGCTGAAAAGGTTCTCAAAGTTTGCAATAAGGATTCATCCTATTTATTTTATTTTTAAATTGTATGTTTTATCATTTTTTCCGCCTTAAACATCATGTTTCAGAATTGTTTGGGACTTTTGATCTTAATTGTGTATGTTTGTGTGTGTGTGCGTGCACCTCCCTGTCTGTATGTGTCTATCTGTATGCATGAGTGGAGAGAAAGAGAGTTAACCAATTGAGGCCGGAGCAATGCTGTCAGCGTTGATTGAGAAGTTCCGTTTTGTCCAAACAATGCTGTCAGCATCAAACATATGTCCCGTACATATTGCTTTGCACACGGCTCCGTACTTATTTCTAATGTTCGGAACTATGATTAAAGTATTCAGGGAAAGTCACTCTGACGATTTCCTTTTAAGAAAATTCAGTATCCCAAGCCACATGGGCTTAGATTGATAGGATTCATAGCAAAATTTTTTTTCAACAGTGCATTTTCTAAGTTTGTTTTCGAGTGCCATGAATACCAATGTTCCAGCCACAAGTACAGGTCGCAGGATGCATCTTTCTGCAGCCGAAGCTCTGAAATTGTTTCAGTCAGATGTTTTTAATTCTGATAATGATAATGAAAATTTAGAATTTTTTAAAAAGTGATTCAGATGGTGAATTTTCACCAGCGAAGTTGAGCGATCAGCTGTTGGGAATTAGATATTCTGATTAGTTTACACAGACAATGTCCCATTACTACCCTATTTATGGTGTAAGACAAGGAAAGTGCTCTAAAAAAAGAGACAATACTATACTATGGCTAAGCTACATTGAAATCATTGCAGCTACAGTCTGTATATAACTGTACAAAGTAAATAGTGTGTGTGTAATGGCCTGTATCTCTGCAATTTTTTTCTCTGAAATTTTGCTCAGCACTTTGTGCTAAACTTACCCAGAAACATCATAACTTTGGAATTTATTAGGAAATTGAACAAACTTTGAAGTGTTGTTCTCAAATTTAGATATTCTCTACTCTTGTGGCTGCAAAACCATGGTAAGTGAAGAATTGGTTTGTAAAATGTTGTTGTGAAATTAACACCATTCTTTTTTTCCTACTAACTATAACAAATTTAAACACACACTTATCATCAGATTCAAAATTTACATTCATTTCTCCTTAAAAAAATAGATACTTTTATAGGAATTAGAAGTATATTAAATTCTCTATTGCATTTCTTGTACATAATTTTTGTAAAGGGAAATTAATGTGGGCCAAGTCTGTCAAAATTCATGGGCCTGAAAGGGTTAAATATGTATATTATATTTTGCAATTTTTATTTTTATTTTTTATAATTCAATTTTGTTTTCAATGTTTAAAGGTGCTGAACCTGTTCCTGGCATTGTTACTAAATGCATTTGCCAGTGATTCACTAGATAAACATCGAGATGGCAGCGACGAGAGGTCAAAACTTTCAGAAGGTTGGCAGCGACTAAAACAGCTAATGCTTTGTCATTGTTCTAGAGGAAATGGTAAGACATGTATTTAAAAAAAATAAAAAGTCAAATAATTAATAATGAAGTTGAACGTAAGGGGAAAAAAATGTCCTGAGGTACTGTTTTGTACAGATGCTTACCATTAAGTTTAAAAAAAAGATTTTTCTGGCTTTCTGAATCTACAAAAAGCAGTCAGTGTGTGAGTACTTGATTGCCTTTATCGTTTGGGGGGTGCTACGTCTTTAGTTTCAGAGGCATTATTATTGCCCACAACATGTGACATTTCCCCCTTTCTTCTTAACAGTTTGTCTACTAAAATATGTGTTGATCCATAACATGTGACTATAAACATACACACACACACACACGTATATACATACATAAATCATGGTCATATATATATATACACACTGTTTCTTGGTCACCTTGTTCGTCCTTCTCTCTGTCTCTAATTTTGCTCTCTCTGTGTCTCTCAATTTCTGTATTTTCTGTTTATCTGTTGTCTCTCCTTAAGGCTTTCAGGATGTATATTTTATTGTGTACATTTATATATAAACATAACATGCATTATTGATCATGATCTGAAGGATGAGTCTTGAAAGAGGCAAATGTAAGATGGGCCTGCTTGCCCAATTTGTAAAACTTTAAAAATAAAGTTTGTTTGTTTGTTCATTCATTTATTCTTACCTTTCTCTCTCTTGCTCTGTCATGCAACACTGCAGTATATCTGAACCTATACACCATTAATTAAGCCACATTATTGGCAAGCCAAATTCAAAACACCAGCTTAATTTGACTTAATTTGGTGAGTGTGATTTGGAAGATAATGAATTTGATTTGAAAAAAGGTGAATATGCAAAAGGATGGATTTGAGTTGCAAAAAGATGAATTTGCTTTGTAAAAAGATGTTTTTCTCTTTGCCAGTCCTGTAAAACAGCTGCATGTGTCTTCCCAGCAGTTTCATTTCGAACTAAAGCCCGCCTTCAATTTGACAGTGAGGACAATATAAATTTGAGCTGCTTGAGTGAGATGGAGGACACATACACCACAGAACAAACTGAAACTATTTCTAGTGACTCAGAATGTGTTACCGTCCGACATGACACGTCTAGTGGAAAGCATACAAATGGCACTGAATGTTCTGAAATGCAAGAGCTTAACAGAAACAGTACAGACTGTCAGTATCAAGAAAATCAGGGAGTTGCAAAAGTAAGAAAATTCAATAAATTATATTTCAGTTTTCTAATTTCTTCTTCTCCTCTTCCTTCATCTTTTCTGTCTTCTTCTTTATCTTCCTCTTTCTTCCTCTACTTCTTCATCTTTCTCCTCCTCCTCTTGTTCCCCTGCATCCATGTCCTCATCTTTCGTCTACTTCTTTATGTTCACTGGCTGTACACCTCAGCAAAATTTTCCTGAATTGTTTTCATCCATTTCTAAATTTTGGTCTTATTCCAGGTTTTGAGTGCACATCCATTTTATTTGGCTTACTTATGTGCCGACTGTTGGTTCTTTGCATCTAAGGTAGATGCACTCCAGCTTGGAAGGAAATGTTGGTACTGTCAACATTGGCCATCCCTGGGTTGGAAACCTGTTCCTAGGATAATCGCGAAGAAGTGTGGTTAATTCTTTATCAGTTTTGTTTTTGTTTTTTTAGTATCCAGAAGCCATGAATTGTTAACCCTTAGGCTCGGTATTACGGATATCGCAACCCTTCGGCCTTGATTCCATGATAAATACCATAAATCTGGGAGAAATGTGGCTTTTCTGCCTACCCACGGGCGTGAACCCGGACCACAAGGAGTTCGTCACCCGGTCACAGCGCAATTCGGTTTAGCCAACTACGCTGGTGAGCCGGGATTGATCAGTGTTAAATAGAGAAGAAATAGGATGTAGAGGTGCTGCAGCAGGACCATATTTTACACTGGTCACAGGACCATATGATCAGTGTTAAATATGAACAGTATAAAATATGGTCCTGTGACCAGTGTAAAGTATGGTCCTGTGACCAGTGTAAAATATGGTCCTTCTGCAGCACCTCTACTTCCTATTTCTTCTCTTTATTACTGTTACCATTATTGAGACATCCAAACATAATTATGAGTGTAAAGAGACAGGTTATTAACAGCATATTCATTCCAACATTAAGCTACCAGTGCCAAACATGGACACCATCTAATGCTCGTGTGCGCAAAATCACCACCTGCTTCTCCTTCTTCTTTCGTTCGCCTGAAATAAGTTGTCTATATCAGCAGTTTTGTCTCTTGTATAAATTTCACTGTCTTTGTTAGTTCATTCAGTGGTCCATAGAGTTTATGTTCCACTGTTGTTCTTTTTGGCCAAAATTTTGCCTTAATGTGTCAAATTCGGTGCAGTCCTGGAGTACATGCTCTGCTGTCTGGGGCACCTTTCCACAGGTGCACATGGCTGATACGCCTATCTTGAATTTTGTGTACATGTGGTTACGTAATCGGTTGTGCCCTGTTCTGAGGCGGAGGATAATGACTTGTATGTCACCACTTGCGAGATAAGACGCCTAAGAAAAGCTGGGAGCTGTGCATCTGTTCAAATGATTCAGTGTTCCAAAATGCAGCATCTGTTCAAATGATTCAGTGTTCCATAATGCATCATCTGTTCAAATGATTCAGTGTTCCAAAATGCAGCATCTGTTCAAATGATTCAGTGTTCCATAATGCATCATCTGTTCAAATGATTCAGTGTTCCAAAATGCAGCATCTGTTCAAACAATTTAGTGTTCCATAATGCAGCATCTCATGGAATGATTCAGTGTTCCATAATGCAGCATCTGTTCAAATGATTCAGTGTTCCAAAATGCATCATCTGTTCAAATGATTCAGTGTTCCAAAATGCATCATCTGTTCAAATGATTCAGTGTTCCATAATGCATCATCTGTTCAAATGATTCAGTGTTCCAAAATGCATCATCTGTTCAAATGATTCAGTGTTCCAAAATGCAGCATCTGTTCAAATGATTCAGTGTTCCAAAATGCAGCATCTGTTCAAATGATTCAGTGTTCCAAAATGCAGCATCTCATGGAATGATTCAGTGTTCCATAATGCAGCATCTGTTCAAATGATTCAGTGTTCCATAATGCAGCATCTCATGGAATGATTCAGTGTTCCAAAATGCAGCATCTGTTCAAATGATTCAGTGTTCCAAAATGCAGCATCTGTTCAAATGATTCAGTGTTCCAAAATGCAGCATCTGTTCAAATGATTCAGTGTTCCATAATGCAGCATCTGTTCAAATGATTCAGTGTTCCAAAATGCAGCATCTCATGGAATGATTCAGTGTTCCATAATGCAGCATCTGTTCAAATGATTCAGTGTTCCATAATGCAGCATCTCATGGAATGATTTAGTGTTCCATAATGCAGCATCTCATGGAATGATTTAGTGTTCCATAATGCAGCATCTTATGGAATGATTCAGTGTTCCATAATGCAGCATCTCATGGAATGATTCAGTGTTCCATAATGCAGCAACTCATGGAAGGATTTAGTGTTCCATAATGCAGCATCTGTTCAAATGATACATTGCTTCATAATAAAGGGTTAAGGTTATGTTCCATACTAATCACAATCTCTTCATCCCGGACATCCAGAGAACAGATATTATTCTTATGAACAGTGAGACAGTCAACCATGGTATCTGCTAAATGAAGCCTGCAGTTTTTAGACTGACTAACTTAATGATGTTGAACTGAGTTAAGAACCATCATCATCACAGCACTTTGTATGTTTCTGTAAGCGCTCTGACCTAATCTTCTGCATCCATTTCAGAGTTTTAATACACACAATGGTATGATTCTGTCTTGTCCTTCTTGTGAGTTTTGAATATCAAACAGGGGATGATGATGATGACTCTAAGATTACCTGAGCACTTCAGAATAGATTTTTTGCCCCTGGAAATCTCACTGAATGTTATTTTCCTTATTGTTTTACCGTTATTACCCATAATTGAATCATTCACATACTGTCATTACAATGAAAGCTGGTGCAACGGATTACCAAGATTTTGCCTCTTTCATTGTGCCCTCAGACTGCTATTCATCTTCATCTTATCAAGTTATCATTCCAATTGTACTGCTGTGTATCTTGTGCTCCTCTGCTTAACTGCCTCTCCAGTATGTAATCTTTTAATGAAACCAACATATTTCACATATATATTTCTGTCATTATTTCTCCTTTTATTTCCTATGTATTCTAAAACCTAAATTGTATTATTAATTTTTTTGAGAAATTCTGTGTATTTTTTTCTAAACATCCATCTCTAGAGCCTCATATGAACTTTCTGATTGCTTGTTATGATCCATGATTAATTATAAACTTGTTATGATCCACGACTAATAATAAGTTAATTTATTGCGTTTTAAAATAATTATATTGTGCATGTTCAGGTGAAAAGCAGTTTCTCTAATTTTACACAGAAACAAAACAACCTTGAGAATCCCCGTTCACGCCGTAAACGCAGAAGTTTAGAGACCTCGATAAAAAACTGGACCAACAACGCGTTCAGAAGCCATTACTCAGAATCTAATCATGATGATGAGTTTGACAGTTACTATTTTGATGAATTCGATGATGTCAAACAACCAGTAGGTGGACCACCACCAGCCTGCTTTCCACCCTGGATGTCTAGGAAGTGAGATCCCTTTCTTTTTTTCTTTAATATTTCTCTGTTTATTGTTATTGATTTACACAGTTGGACAGTTTCTCTCTGTTTATTGTTATTGATTTACACAGTTGGACAGTTTCTCTCTGTTTATTGTTATTGATTTACACAGCTGGACAGTTTTTCTCTGTTTATTGTTATTGATTTACACATTTAGACAGTTTTTCTCTGTTTATTGTTATTGATTTACACATTTGGACAGTTTTTCTCTGTTTATTGTTATTGATTTACACAGTTGTACAGTTTTTCTCTGTTCATTATTATTGATTTACACATTTGGACAGTTTTTCTCTGTTTATTGTTATTGATTTACACAGT